GGGCTTGGCACAAAGAGAATTCTATTGGAACAAAAAAGTTCTCTAATGGCCACGGAAGCAACTCTTTTGACGGTGATCTGGAGAAGGTCATAAAAATTAAGCAATTGGATGCCAGCAGCGCTGGACCGGTCGTTGTGGAAAATAGTTGAGAGGGGTCTTTAGACCAGGGATGTTATGGATATCCGTAACCGTAACCGAAACTTTCGGATATCCGAAATAATGAAATATCTATAACCGTAACCGATTCAAAAGTTTCGGATGTAGGCAGTTTTTTTTTTTTGTATAGCATATTAAAGGCATAATAGCCTGATTTACCTTTATAAGCCATCTAGTATTAATTTTTATTTTTTTATTACTTTTTTTATGTAAAGTGTGTGGCCATGAATGAACCGTTTTGAACAACTATTGCAATTTGAATTCTAAAACACAGATATTCGGATATCCGAATTCGAAATAAAAAAATATCCGTAACCGTAACCGAAACTACATATCTATAACATCCCTACTTTAGACATAGGCCTGTCGTAATAGACGTTTTTGATTAAGTCTGCCAATAACTATCCCCCGTCTTCATTATTAAGCCTTTGACAGTCTAATATTGATTCGACTAGCTTTTGCCCGCGGCTTCACCCGCGTGAAATTTAGTTTGTCACAGATCGTCATAAATTATAGCCTAAGACATGTTATTCTGGGTTATAAACATTAATACTGTAAAGTTTCGTCAAAATCCGTTCAGTAGTTTTTGCGTGAAAGAGTAACAAACATCCAGACAATCTAGACATCCAAACTTTCGCATTTATTTATAATATTAGTAGGAAGGATTAATTTACTAACCAGTGATGTAAGCGATGTCCCCGTTCACATTTCTGCCGATCATACCGGCCTGGTGTGCGCCCAGACTGTGTCCCACAATGTGGTAGTGTCCCGGGACAGCCCCAGTGGCTTGGTTCAGCCAGTTGATGAAGCGCGCGATGCTTTCAGCTGGAATCAGTCAAATTTCCTTATTAGAATGTAAAGAAAGAAAGAAAGAAAGATTTAAACTAATATAACCAATAGTAAGGCACGGGTCTTAGCGCGATGTAAACGGTGAAACGAACGAACGAATGGATTTTTAAGGATATTATTATTATAACAGTGGTTTCTTAACTTACCAGCAATAAGGGTGTTGGTGACAGCAATGCCGTAGTTAATGTTGCCGGAGCCAGCACTCCAGTCAACCACGATCACGTTGACATCCTCAGCAGAGAGGAAGGCTGCAAAATGAACAATAGAAAGTGTAAATGTATGGGTGGAAACGATAAGTGATCTCACTCGATTGTTTCTAAACTATACAAGATATCGAAAAACTGGTTACTGCTCCTGAAAGTGCTTCACGAGCTCTAACAAACGGTATCAATAATGTTACAGTTTAAAAACTGTATCATCCATGAAGGCGCTGGATGCAGGCCGCTACCAACCGGGTGATGTGGAAATCATTTGGGGAGGCCTGGATGGCCTGGCCAGGATGTTCAGAAGTGGACGTCCTGTGGCTGAAATGATGATAACAATTATTTTCTTGTTTTCTTTACCGGGCACAAGCAGGGTGTTCATGGCAGCTGTAGCTCCGACCCTCCATCCATGAAGGAGGATGATGGTCCTCCTGCCAGGGTTGTAGTTGGTGAGCCCGAGCAGTCCCTCACTACCCATCAGCAGAGGCTGACTGACGGTTGGGTTTCCTCTGGAAATTTATAGAAAATGTTAAGGTATTTGTCGGAAACTTGAAGGAAAATTACACTTTCTGAGAGAGGTAACGGTAATAAAGGTAAAAAGCAAGAGTTTGAATTAGTCAGTCAGTTAACTTATAAAAAAATACTCAACACATATTTTTCACTCTTTTAAGAAAATTGAAAGACACAGCGCGTCAAAGTTCAAAAGTGTGTGACGTCAAGGAGTGCTTAAAAGTGTTGCACTTTGTGACGTCACACGGAACTTCAACGCACGATTACTTCGTAATTATATCCAATACTAGCTTTCCGCCCGCGGCTTCGCCCGCGTGGAATTTTGTCTGTCACAGAAAAACTTTATCGCGCGCGTCCCTGTTTCAAAAACCGGGATAAAAACTATCCTATGTTCTTTCCCGGGACTCAAACTATCTCTATGCCAAATTTCATCAAAATCGGTTGCGAGGTTTAAGCGGGAAAGCGTAACAGACAGACAGACAGATAGACAGACAGACAGACAGACAGACAGAGTTACTTTCGCATTTATAATATTAGTTGGGATTGTTTTATAATACGTATAATTGACTGGCTAAAAATTTTTTTTAGGAAAGTAGCCTATTTTCACCATCATTCAATTCCCGTGGATATCGTAAGTGATTAAGGGAGAATCCTCCATTTACTGCCTCTTGTAAATTAAAGAGGATCACGCTCCTGCAGTGAAGACTAAATGACCTGACGATGTTACCTGGTGAACAGATGGTAGACGATCTGCCTCTCAGGATCAAAGCTGTTGACAGCGACATCTCGGGCTGTCACCCAGGTGTCAGCCAGGTGCAGGTTGCCGTCTCCATCAGCGATGTGCTGGTAGCGAGGACCCTCCTCATCTAGTTTGGAGATGACGAGGTCCAGAGCTGGGAGCGCTGGAAAGATGAGAAAATAGATCTATAATACTTAATCTATATCTATAATAGCGAAAGGTGACTCACTCACTCACAACGAAATTATAATAACGGAAGGTCACTGACTGACTCACTCCTCACGAAATCTCAGAAACTACAAGTGCTAGGAGTGTCTAATTTCGCATGGGGGTTCCTTTTCGAACGTAGGTGCTCACTAAGACGGGATTTTGCAAAATTCAACCCCTAAAGGGGTAAAACGGGATCCACGCGTACGAAGTCGCGGGCGACCGCTAGTTTTGTAAATAAAGCTGAAGAATTTTTCAGAAACTACTTTTTACAGAATCTCAGGAACTACTGATCCGATTTGAAAAATATTTTTTGTTGTTTAAAGGCTTTTAGGCTAAACTCGTTTAAATCATCACTAACCCAAGGACAAAGTCGTGGATAGATTAGAACACATGATACCTACATATTATACGGAGTTGTGTGTTGGTGTTATATTTTTTTAACTTGTAGATAAGTAGTAGACAAATACTACGTCACAAATCATCGTATACGATATGGACATTACGCATTTTTAATAACTTATCATTAACGATAAATTGATACTTATCTAATAATATCATTATTATTATCTTCAGGTGTAAGTACCAGATAAAAAATACACAGGTGTTTGTTGCTTAGTGCTAAAAAACATAAAATACCTACCTTTACGAGTACCTACCTAAGCAAGTGAAATAAAGAAAAGTGAAGTTTTCTATCAATGATCACAATCACTTGAAAAAAACATAAATTACGTAACATTTACCTTCTCATATCATATCGCGTTAAAATCTGTTTAAATTTTAATTCATCTTCTCGATTTATGGTATGTTTGTAAAGGAATACAATTATAATTCATGCTCAAGCAAGGCATTGGACATCACAACAGAATAGCCCGCGACGTTTCGTCCTAAGAACTATTGAGATACCTAGTTACGTTCAATTTGCCATAAAAAATTGTCCAAGAAAATTATAAAATAACATCAATGAATTTAAATAATTATACAAAACAATATTAGGCACACACCTTTGAAGTTGTATTTAATAAAACGTAGAAAAATAATTACTAATTACCTACTTATTTATTAGGACGAATCTTCTATATATAAAAATGAAACCCGTTTCGCGTTGTCACGGCATCACGTGTGAACGGCTGAACCGATTTCGATAATTCTTTTTTTTAAATGTTTGTGGAAGTCCAAGGATGGTTCTTACGGAAAAAAATATTAAGAAAATCTCTACGCTAAGGCGGTACGAAGTTCGCCGGGTCAGCTAGTTATTAATATTTATGTAGGTATACCATGATTGATACTTCTGGAGTCGGTGCCAAGATTATGAAACATGTAAAAAAATTATTTAATTTATTAGTTGACAAATGTTTTTACTCGGTAAAAGATTATCTGACATATAAATTCTAGTGGTTAATACCTATTGTTTGTCGTATGTATTCTGTGGTACTAATATGAATCTGACATTAATTAAAATTAATCTTGACTGTAGGTATTCGAATAACTGACATAAATATTTACTGACATTATCTTTATTGATAATTGTAATTCAAATAATTTATCTGTTCTTTGTTTGTAGTTGGAAAGTTCTCATTTTTTTTTAACTATGCATGGGTCAATAAAAAAAAATGTAATAGGGCCATTCTTATTCTTACGCATTTTTGTGTGAGATGTAAGAATAGCATATGTTTTTAAAGAAAATCAGTGCACTGTATATTAATTTACTTAGTAAAATACCTCTATTAACTAGGCCCAATATCATTTTTATCATAAAACTATTAGAAGAATATTAAAAAAAAGTTACAAGTCCAAAATGTCACGGACCGTGTAGTGTGAGATTCCCGGATTTGGGCATACAATATTTTTTTNGGAACGCTCCCGAGAATATTCTCAGTTGAGAGAGCGTTCTCGGGAACGGCACATCAATAGTCTTGATCATGTTAAACATTAATCAACAAAATAACCAAAACAGGCAATAGCATACATTTTGCTGGATACTATAATGGTTCGAGCAGACAATAAATGCATAAAGAGGAATAAGGAAGATAAAACAGGGATAACTGGATAATTTAAATGAAAAGCAGTTGCACTTAGCCATAAGTATGTCAGTTTCACCTTATAGAGATTCTGAAAAATTTGATATCAGCAATCAGATAACATTACATTAATTTAAGCACTACACCTTCGCGCTAAGATGCGTGCCATGATAAAATCTTATCGACGATTTTAGACGACAAATGTATGGGCTTATCGAGAAAAAAAATCGTTAAAATTCCCCGATAAAAGTCAATCGTAGCGCGCACCCTACGCCTATTGTAATACTTAAGATTATAACTAAAAACAATACTTACATCGGGGTAGGTTTCCCTGAGGTCGGCCTTCAGTTTGTCGAAGTCCAAAGGCGGTAATTCCGCTCCAGGACGGCCTTCTATCCTTGGCATGTCCTTGAGAACCTTAGACCTGTAATAAATAATAAATAAAATACAGGATATTAGACATAATTATAACAAAAATAGTTTCGGCAACATTTGTCTTATTTTCCCCGGAAACAAATATTTGTTTTGTAAATAAGAATTCGTGTGATGTGTTTAATACTATATTAGTCACGAGTACAATCAGAGATTTGTAAACACATCTTTTACGAGTATGTTTTAAATCAAAATTTGACCTATGGGCCTTGTAACATTACAACATACATAATGTATTTTTGTCTTACAAGAATAATAGCATCCATGCTTGTCAGTCGTTCATTTTATCATCACTCAAAGCAAACGTATTGAAGAAGAACAGCTGTTTTTGTTTGTCATCATTTCTCAAAATATCTGCCCCCCTAGACAAAACGCACTTTTTGATCGAATCGAAAATCGAATCCGTCAAAACTCCATACAAAAAAGGGGCTTTTCGACCACTTTTCGACTGGTTTGCGATTATAATTTGCATTTTGTCTAGACCTCCTGTTCTGCCTACATCACAATCTAAATTTTAATAATTATGTTAAAAAATAGTATTTAAGTATGTTTATATCCGTTGTCTGGTACCTATATCACAAGCATTACTTAGTTTGGAAGTAGATGGTGCAGTGTAAAATGTCCACGAATATTTAAATTTATTTATGTGATTTTTTTTCCAATAGTGACTGAGTTTCTTGCGCTGCTTCTTCTCAGCACTGGCCCATTTATTGTCCCGAAGCAGTGGTAGGGTTAATATTGGGACGTGTAAAAGCGCTTTTTTAAAGCCTATTTGCAAAAATAAATGAATTTTATGAATTTTTATAATTTTATTCATACCTTAGCGGCTCAGGGAATCCACCGTGCGGTATACCGATGGCTCCCTGCAAGTATTCCACCACAGACTTGGGGAAGGACAGTTCCTCTGCCTTCTCCTCGATCTCCTTGGCGGTGAGTTTGTTCTGAACCATGAACTGGGCGAAGTCTCCGACCACCTTGGATGAGGGTGTGACCTTGATGATGTCTCCGAGGAGCAGGTTGGCTTCTCTGGAATAAGGATGTAATGATGAGTACATTGGATTGTTACAGGATTGATCGTAATAAAATCATGGTATCTGACGGTGGCAGGGTTCGAAATTATCAAGATAATTACGCTTCATGATAATTACCGGATAATTATCAACAGTATAAGATACATTTGTCATATTATTTCATAAGAAATTCTGATTGCAAATATTGCCTTATGTTTTTGGTTGCTGATTGTTGTCAAGTTATCCATCGCTAGTCGCATAAAGCTTGGAAAATAGATAAATATTTTGACGCTAGATAACTAGTGATTAATGTGGAGCTAAATTGAAAGAAAGAAAGAAAGAAGAAAGATACATTTATTACAGTGGACATCACACAAATACAGGCAATTACATAGACATGACAGTGGCACATAATAATAAAAGAAGAAAAAATAAAAACAAGAGTAAACTGAGCAGTGCCACCCATTCACCAACCAGATGCCCACTGCAACGGGACCCCACTCAGCATATATAAATTGATATGTTTTATAACTATCTATGTTGATTAATGCCCACCACTAGACGCAAGTACGGATATACACTTTCGACGACTTCGAATACAGTTAATTTTACGAGCGCAATTCTTTGTTATTTGATAATAATCGGTTGATACCGATAATCATCCATCTGTTATTATCACGATAATTATCATTGATCTCATTGAAAAATCACGAAATATCACTCAAGTGCTGACTAATGTGACCTATAGGCGGTTTAACACATTTGTCGCCGGTGGGCTTTTGCTTTTATCTTTTCAGACAGGCATAAAACTGGACTCAAATTTTCCGCTCCTAAAATCTGTTGCATTAGGACGACTCAATCTACTGGTAAATCTACCGCTGCAAAAACCTGATGTACTTATCTATGGCTTTTCTGGTTCACAAATCTGCTGTCCACTGAGAGGATTAGACTGTCTTACTTACAAGACTGAGGCTGAGTTGCACCATCTTACTTTAACTTTGACAAACGTCAAAAATCTGTCAAACTCCATAATAAAAGCACCGGTTATCGTTATAGCTACGGTCAAAGTTAGGTGGTGCAACTCAGCCTTGCTCCACCATTGCTTAAACCTAATGTACTCACCTATAAGCCTTCTTGACCTCTTCAAACTGGCTGCCCAGACCCAGAGAGAATGCTTGGAACTGCAGGTTAGTGTACTGTCCTCCAGGTATCTCGTTGAGGTAAACATCAGCGTTGCCGGACTTCATGGTGGCTGTGCATTCGAAGGGCCCGTACAGTGTGCGCGCCTGCTCCCAGTACGCTGAGTATTCTGATACTTTTTGTAGGGGGATCTCTGTGGAAGAATAATAGAATAAGTCAATGAGGGCTATCGTTTTAGCGCTCACCAGTTAGCGCCACTGTAGAGTAAGGTCCTGTCACTTGCTAGTAGCGAAGACAGTGGCACCAACTGGTGAGCACGAAAGTGGTAGGAGGACTATCGTATTTGCACTCATCAAAATGGCGCCACTGTAGAGTAAGGTCCTGTCAATCGCCAGGGGTGCCAACGATAGCCCTCATTGAAAAAGTTTTGCAACACGAAAAGAGGGTTGAGTATTGTTTCTTCATTTTCTACTTTATTGTTAGGCGTGGTATAGTAATGCAACCCATTCGTATTAATTAGGGATGTTCTAAGCTGTTCAGATCATTATGCGTGGCTGCGTTTAATTCTGGTATCTTGGTTAACTTCTGTGCTATGTTAATTTGGCCAACAGAAGATTTACTGGTATTATGCAGCGAGGCTTCAGTCACGGTAATCTTTAGCACACGCTAGCATAGAAGCCACGATACTTAAGTTATGACGTCCTAGGTAACACTTACTGGTATCCAACTCCGTAGCGTGTAGCGAGGCCACCACCGCGCCCATACTCGGCTGACATGGTCATGCCAGACATGGAATCCACAGCTACGTCAACCACGTCAGCTCAAGCTTCGGCACACGCTAGCATATAAGCTACACCAGTGTTTATAGCCTAGAGATGTACTTACTGGTATCCAACTCCGTAGCGTGTAGCGAAGCAACCACCGCGCCCATGCTCGGTTGACTGGTCATGCCAGACATGGAGTCCACAGCTACGTCCACCACGTCAGCACACGCCAACACAGAAACCACAACACTTCTCATAACCTAAGGCTACTTTTGTATAACGTGACTTACTGGTATCCAACTCTGTAGCGTGTAGCGAGGCGACCACCGCACCCATACTCGGTTGACTGGTCATGCCAGACATGGAATCCACAGCCACGTCAACCACGTCTGCTCCAGCTTCGGCACACGCTAGCATAGAAACTATGTAGAACTCTTTAGAACGTCTCGTTCTCGTTATGACGTCCTAGTACTCGTAAATATAACTTACTGGTATCCAACTCCGTAGCGTGTAGTGAAGCGACCACCGCGCCCATACTAGGTTGACTAGTCATGCCAGACATGGAATCCACAGCCACGTCAACCACGTCTGCTCCAGCTTCGGCACACGCTAGCATGGAAGCTACACCAGCGCCTGATGTATCGTGAGTGTGAACGTGGATAGGCACGTCGGGGTGCTTGTCGCGGATCGCTTTGATGAGGAGCCTAGGGATAGATTGACGCTTAAAAATATATTTATACATTTTAAGATGATTTTAACTAAACATACTTCAAGTTCTTGCAAGTAAACACGAAATAGGAAGCTATATATTATGCAACTTGGGAAGGTATACAACGATAATTCTTAAATGGTATGTGGCTGTTTAGACCGAAAACAAATCTAAAGTTTTAAGATGCTGAATCTTGGTATTTTGATGAAAACAAAAACTACTTCATTATTCAAGGAAGGATGGTAAGATAAATTTTCATTAAAAACTTGACACCAGTACGGCTAGCACGAAAAACTTTCGAGTTCAAATCGTTTGCGTACTCGAATCGCCATCAAAAGATTTAGTAAGAAAACAACAACAGCGCCCTTGTGAACGTGTCGTAAAGTGAACTTAGTATGAGATGTGGTTGCACGAAACTTATTTTGAGAATCAAAATTGTCACGTTATCGTTTAATTCGAAGATTGAGTACCGAATTTAATCGAGTACGCAAACGATTCGAAGACGAAAGTTGTTCATGCTAGAGGTACAGAACGTGACTGAATCGTGACGTTAAAGGTCTGTCTTAAATAAGGGTTCCGTTTTTTGCCATTTGGCTACGGAACCCTAAAAACAGTTACGAATGTTTAACACAATCTATGCGAGTCATAATAAGATTTTCTTAACAACCAAAGATAAACTTATTTACTGCAATAAAATCACACTTACGACGCGGCACGTGGCTTCAGCAGACCAGCCATATCCTTAATAGCTAGCACGTGCGTGCCCGCTTTAACCAGCTCATCGGCTAAATTCAGGTAATACTTCAGGTCGTATTTGGTCTTCTGAGGGTCAGACACGTCGCCAGTGTAGGAGATAGCAGCCTCGACCACGCCTCCTGCTTTGCCTGCCGCGTCCATACCGAGGATCAAGTTGGGAAGGTAGTTTAGAGAATCGAAGACACGGAAGATGTCCATACCGCATTGGACCTGGGGATAGGAAATACATTGTAATGTGAAATGTGAGATTGGGTAGTAAAGAAAATTTTCGCTGTTAAAGTCGCTCTTATTTAGTATGGAATAGAGGCGATGTTAAGGTCATTAAATGATGTGTTTGGTTGAGTAATAAACACTTTTTAAGGAAGGTGTACTTTCCTTTATGTTACCCATTTTTGCTAATTGCCTCTTTTTTTCCTTTTTTTCCCACGTAATGTCTTTTAGATTGCAAACAAAACAAAACTCCCCACACACACTATCAATAATAGTCATTATTACGGTCACTCACTGAAGAAGACAGTGAAAGGGGTTTATGTAACCATTCACTGCCAGTCATTAAGTTATTAGATGTGTTATTTAAATAAATAAATTGTAAAAGGTTCGACTTAATAATAAATCTTGACTTATTAATATTTATCATCTATTTTTTTATGGCCTAGACATTGGACCTCTGAGTTGTGTGTCACTTATTATTGATGAGCCTTTGTAGATATTATTACTAAACTAACTGTTGCCCGCGGCTTCACCCGCGTGTAATTCAGTTTGTCACAGATCGTCGTAAATTTTAGCCTATATTTTATTCTGGGTTATAAACAATAATACTGTTAAAGTTTCATCAAAATCCGTTCAGTAATTTTTGCGTGAAAGAGTAACAAACATCCAGACAACCAAACTTTCGCATTTATAATATTATAGTAGGATACTCTTTCTAAATGTAAAAAATATCCACATGAATAAGAAAAACACTTACAGCCATATCACAGAACTTGTAGACCGCGTTGTCAGGGTAGTTAGTGTACCCGACCGCGTTGGCGCCTCGCAGTAACATCTGGAAGGGGATGTTGGGGATCATCTGCCGCATGTCGCGCAGCCGCTCCCACGGGCACTCGTGCAGGAACCTGGGGAGAATGGGGAGTTGTTAAGATGAAGGACCATTATTAGGGCGTATCCTGCTTCTGAGTCATAGCCCGTCTGGCCCAAGGGAGGGAACAGTCTGGCATCTTTTTTTTACGTGAAAAAAATGCATAAAACTGCATACCCGCCGCTGTGGTCATGGCGACGGGTTATGTGAGGCTCTCTCTGCCAGAAGGGCGGGACCTACCAACTAAAATAACCACGAATGTACATCTCTCTGAGCATAGAGGAAGTACCGGCGTAGCGAGGCCTCGACCCAATTTCCGCCTATGCCCAGTTTGTCCACGGTTGCGGACACATCTAACAGTCTGGCATCTGGCCCAAGGCGGGAGTCATACCAGTTCAGGAGGGAGGGGGGCCAGACAGCTATAGGATGCCGATGACAATGATATCAAGTAGCAAAAGGCAGCTCAAGTCAGCTTTTAAATTAAAAAGGGCATTGGCTTCATCACGGTCATCCCTTAATTTTTACATGACCAACACGTACCTAAGGCGACACGGCGAGCAGGTCGTGACTCCTCACGCGGGTCGCAAGCATAGACTGGTGAACTCTGTATGAGGTGTCCTACATCGAGTGCTCACTCACCGGAGGGCGACGTCGAAGGTAGCCCCGACTCAGTTGCACGCCACGTAAGACGTCACGTGAGCAGGTCGTGACTCCTCACGCGGGTCGCGAGTAACGACTGGTGATCGTCTCTGTATCTACATCTAGTGCTCACTCACCGGAGGGCGACGTCGAAGGTAGCCCCGCCCCAGTTCTCCAGCGAGTATAAGTTGCTGAAGTTGTGTGCGACGTAAGGCGACACGGCGAGCAGGTCGTGACTCCTTTCGCGGGTCACGAGTAACGACTGGTGAGCGTCTGTATTTGGTGTCCTACATGTAGTGCTCACTCACCGGAGGGCGACGTCGAAGGTAGCCCCGCCCCAGTTCTCCAGCGAGTATAAGTTGCTGAAGTTGCACGCGACGTAAGGCGACACGGCGAGCAAGTCGTGACTCCTCTCGCGGGTCACGAGTAGCGACTGGGGAGCTCTGTATGTGGTGTCCTACATCTAGTGCTCACTCACCGGAGGGCGACGTCGAAGGTAGCCCCGCCCCAGTTTTCCAGCGAGTATAAGTTGCTGAAGTTGTGCGCGACGTAAGGCGACACGGCGAGCAGGTCGTGACTCCTCACGCGGGTCACAAGTAGACTGGTGAGCGTCTCTGTATCTACATCTAGTGCTCACTCACCGGAGGGCGACGTCGAAGGTAGCCCCGCCCCAGTTCTCCAGCGAGTATAAGTTGCTGAAGTTGTGTGCGACGTAAGGCGACACGGCGAGCAGGTCGTGACTCCTCTCGCGGGTCACGAGTAACGACTGGTGAGCGTCTGTATTTGGTGTCCTACATGTAGTGCTCACTCACCGGAGGGCGACGTCGAAGGTAGCCCCGCCCCAGTTCTCCAGCGAGTATAAGTTGCTGAAGTTGTGCGCGACGTAAGGCGACACGGCGAGCAGGTCGTGACTCCTCACGCGGGTCGCGAGTAAGGACTGGATCGTCTGTATGTGGTGTCCTACATCTAGTGCTCACTCACCGGAGGGCGACGTCGAAGGTAGCCCCGCCCCAGTTCTCCAGCGAGTATAAGTTGCTGAAGTTGTGCGCGACGTAAGGCGACACGGCGAGCAGGTCGTGACTCCTCACGCGGGTCGCGAGTAGAGACTGGTGAGCGTCTCTGTATGTGGTATCCATGAGGAGCAGACCCTTGTGTTGGCGGACTGCCTTCGCGAAGGCTTCAGGGCCGCCTTCCTTGAGGATCTGCTTGTAGCCTTTAGGAGGCTGGACAGCTATTCAGAATAACATCAGTTTTAGTTCAGCAATTTAACTGTTTTATGAATCAAAGCTTTGGGTTTAGAAGATCTGCTCTAAATCATGAATATGACCTTAAAACAGGACTGAAATTTTGATAGTCTCTTTTAAACTCACAGTACAATAAGCTAGCGCAGCGTATTACAATGCGCTTTCGAATGTCAATTAACTGTTATAGGATTCACCTAGAATATCTTCTTTTACCATCGGTAATTAACATAACATTACATAATAGAAACTGCAACTAATTTTACAGGACAACACAAGTATTAGTCCACAATGTGGTAAATGCTAAGAAATGGACTAGCGGTGGTTAACTTAGTGCATTTGTGTAACTCAAACACTCAAAGTTAAGGATATAAATCATCTAATCTGTTGTTTAAAGTGCGATTTTAAATCAAACAGCATAAATGGACCATGAACACATCATTTTCCACGTGCTTTCGGCTTATCTTTGAGTGTTTGAGATTTACTCATGAAATTTTAAATGTGACTACTTCGTTATGGTATATTTACATTGTCACGGTACAATTTGTATGAGACTACAATACAATAGGCCTCGCGTACACACCTGACAATGTGAATAAAACATTTTCAAAATTATATGCTATCCCTCACACAATTTGAAATTCGTACATGTATCTATTTACGTTTGCATTACAAGAGCATTCTTTGATAATAAAACATTTCCAATAGCAAATGTATGAACTTACATGTAAATAAGGTGCACAAATTACGAATGCTTTACCTGTGTTCTCGCCCGTTAGTTCCTGCCTTTTAATGGCCTCAGGAGAAAGGTCTGAAAAACATTTTTAGTAAAATAATGGCACAGTGCATTAATGTATGGAGTGCACCGTGCACGCAATGCCTGATGGTAACCATGGACACACTACCATAGTGTTACAAACTTATCTAATGTTGTGATACTAACGAAAAGGACTTGTATAGGTAAAAATGATCAGTTTTTAAATGAAAGGCATGACTGTTCTGTGGGTTTTGTCATTGCCACACATTTATATTCATTTGTTTATTTCATATAAAGATAATGACACTGACTGTTAAAATGAAAAGTGGTATGATTAATAGGAACTGTTTAAAAAAATACGTTTAACAGCAAATTAGGTAAGTTTGTCACACTGTTAAATTATTAAAAATATGATTATGTAGTCCGCACTGCAGGACATTATTAGTGCCACATCAAAACTAAAATTCGTGATAATTAATAAAAATCCACACAGTTTGTTAAAAAGTTATTATTACCACGTAATGCGTGGTCTTATGAAGTATGAAATTTTAGTTCAAAATATCATAGATAAAAGAAAATGCGCTATAAATAAATATTAAATATCCAGTGCTCCAAGGTATGCGTTGTAAGCTTAATCGAATAATAATAGAGCTAAGCAAAATCATAAATAAATATTGCAAAAATCACAACAACAAAAAATTCAAAATTTTGAACCTACCATGCCCAGAGCGGACTGTAAAAAAATTTATGGCACTTTTAGAAATTGTTAAAAATTTCATCCTTCATGTGATTTTATTTAAACATTTCCCTGTTGCATTGTACTTATTTTAATAACGCTTTATCTTTGGTATTAATATGAGTAAAATGGAGTATTAACTCAGGTGTAATGTTCAAAATGTATTCTTCACTAAAGTCCGGTCGCCGAGCAGATAGAATTTCATCCAATGACCCTACCCAAGCTACCGATCCTTATCGCTCGCACGTAATTATATTGCTGTCGCGACTGTGCGACGGGCGGCCGCAGCGACAGCAATATAATTACGCACGAGCGATAAGGATGGGTAGCTTGGGGTCATTGGACGAAATTCAATGTGCTCAGCGACCGGACTTTAGAATTAAAATGAGGTATGAATAATTGAATGTTGAAACTCGTAAGGCAATTATTAATATGGTTCATGCTTTTTATATGTAACAGAAATTAAACAGTTACATTTTGACCAATTATTAATAATATTAGATAATGGTAAACTAATGGAACATATGAATAGACATTCATGGCACGAATTTGATATACAGTTATAAAGTTATTTGAGTATGGAAACTAATGTAAAAAAGGGAACTGAATATTACGCGCTAGAACTATTTAATGCGATAAATAACACCAAAAAATAAACCATAGTCAAATCTAAAACGTGCCGTAGTGTTTTCCAATATAGTTATTGATGACAACACTGAAGTTGTCCCTTATTATGGCATTTATAGGAGCGCGCTACTATCAATACTGGATTATTATTAGTTCTGATTTTCGCCACTTGACGTTTCAGAATCGTTATCACTGGCACATGTTCAAAAGACTGTCCCTTCTGTATGTCACTATTGGATTTTGCTGTAGGCATAATTTATAACATCTGCGCATTTTCAAAGGGCTATCTCTTCTACATATTAATATGTCAGACTTATATACTCTTTGCGCGTAATTATTCGAAAGGGTAGGTATCTCTTCTACATATCATTTATATTCTTTGCCATATTCCGACTTACCCAAAGGCACAGGTGGGATGTAAGGTTTGACGTCAGAAGGCGGAATGTTTGTAGCCAAAGGTGTGGCGGGTCCATTCACCAAAACCTGGCCAAGATAGTTGAGGATCTTCTGCGCTCTGTTCTGAGATGGCTTGAACATGAACAGTTGCGGATGCTCGTCGATGAAGTAGGTGTCGACGGAACCTGGTGACAGAAAAAAGATATATTTTAAAAAAGTTTTCTTAAACTAAAAAAAAAATAGTAGGTGGGTTTATAACCACGATTAAAAACGGGTGAATAAGCGTTTGCTAAGCGTTTTCGACTGAAAACCAGTCTCTCACCTTAGGCTGAGTTGAATCATCTTACTTTGACTTTAAAAATCTATTTACCGGTTATTGTTAAAGTTACTGTGAAAGTAAGATGGTGTTATCCAGCCTTAGAATTTCTTAAATTGGTCATTCTGAAAAGAATCAACCATAGTTAAAAAAGGATGACACTCATTTCAACAGTTTTTGTGTATTTTTTTCACGTTATCTTTGCAAGTCGAATAAGCATTATGTTCATCATCATCAAGACGTCCACTGCTTAACTTAAGCCTATGGTTTCCAATCCATACCTCCCGGTTGATAGCGGCCTGCATATAGCGTTCTACTACCTTTATGAGGTTCTTTTATGTTGTTACACACTTTTTATACCGCTTATTTTGATCTTACCGAAAGTATGCAATATCGCTAGGCGCCAAATTAATAGGGTATTTGACACCACCAATCAATTGACGTACTTTTTAAAACTGTCAAAACGACACTCTCCCATAGATTTTGTACGGAAATACTAGCATGTGACGTCACAATTTTATCAACTCAATGAAAATACTTTTTTCAATTATAATGCAACCAAAAATCGTAATTTACAGGTAATTAAAAATTAATTAAGTTTTTGAGACCAGAAAAAAGTTGTGCTTTAGAATGATTGGGAAATGGTGTTAAATACCCAATTAACTTTCACTTCAATAACAATATCCCACTTGTTAAACTATGTTATTATCAGTATAGACTCACCATTCAAGAACTTTTGGTTCTCTAACACGTTGAGAAGGAAGGGAATGTTGGTCTTGACACCTCGGATCCTGAACTCGCGGAGCGCGCGGTTCATTTTTGCCGCAGACGCGGGTAGGTCTTGGGCGTGTGAGATCACCTAAAAATAAAAAAAATACTAAGTTAGGCTTTAGGCCAATTTTTTAATAAATAAATAAACCTTTATTGTCACTATAACAAAAAAAATACAACTTTAACGCAGCTTAACCAGGCCTGTTCATCTCCGCGAGTTTACATCGAAAACAAAACACCCACGATGGCCCACCTACAGGGTACTATTCGACAAGGCCTCACATACGAGCGAACATTGACTCACGCACGCGTATTCTTGTGTATGATGGAAGAAAATAAAGAAAATGGTGTACTAAATACTGTGCAGTATTTAACTGCCTAAATAATAATAAAAACACAGAATGTACTTTTTTTAAGTTGCCTCAAGACACTGAGAGGTAAATAAGTAGTTAATATTATTCATGATAATTCATGCTAAATCATGTATTTCCTCCGCCATTTTCCGCAGTTTGGCACCTCACGTCACATCATTTTACCGAAGTCAGCCCTATAGCTTCGGCGCAGTGCCGATCACTGACGTTTGTCAACAATATGGTGCTTGACTCTTGAGACAGGCTAAATTACACCATATTGATAATAACATTGAGCATACATTTTTTAAACACCTTCGCGAAGTAAAACTTCCGTACGTAGTACTTATTATTATTCTGTGGCTTAACTATTAAAAATAAGGTGACAAGGGCATCCGGCTCAGCGTAAGCTGTACGGCACTAGGTCCATGCAGCGCTGGTTTTCAGCCGGTGCCAGTCTCCTGCACAGTAATACAGCGTTTATAGGTAGGTGCAGTGATATAAAAAAATACCATATTTATAAGCAAAATCTCGCAAATACGTACGTACGTACACACGGACATACTGTTAACTATCCATTTCCGTTTTTGCTCTCGCTCTCATCAAATGGTGATTCTTGGCGATAGAACGAGACGACATGACAGGCTATGGATAGTTAAAACTGTTGCCAATGTTACAGTAATAACTGTACTTTAAATGTGGGTGGCTTAGTTAGGCCATAATCCACTAGTCGTGGCCATTGATGGCCACTGGTGGATGGAAGTTTTAACCTGAATGTGTGAAACGTATGGTAGTCTCATTCCTACTGCTATTTTGCTTTAGTTTTGGACAAATTAAGCGAATCATAATGATTACCTAGCCATGCATATTCATTAAATATTGGTACCATTATGCGCTACATAATCATCTTAAAATACTTAGTTCGACATACAATTTAATCGTTTTCATTCAAAAGAAATATCGTAAAGGTCAATATGGACATTAGTATTATTTATTACAAAACCATGGTCAAGTTTACTTCAATAAATCATAAGTTATTGTTGCTGAGGTTAAGCACATAAATAAAATAAGTAATATGCCATTTTAAGTTGGGACGGATTATACCAATAATATGAGACAAACTACAGTTCAAGTTACAATGGACAGGTTATGAAATAATCTAGTAACATGATATGTAGTCATAACACTAACAATAGCTTCATAGCAATCACGAGACGGTCAATCCGACCCGTGATAAGTATGACCTTCTACAATAGGACGGACGTTGCAATATGGGTATCACTCGCGTGATAGGGCTTTTTCATTTGGCATCCATGCACCTATATCACATTTTCTGTTTCAAGTTGAATGTTACGAATTATAAATATAAACATTTCGTTTACTTATTCCTCGCTTTAGAGCGTATGGTTAGTACCTATTGGTGTCATAGCCTTGAGGTAGACTTTTTTCTTTTCTTCGTTTGAAAAACATACAGCTTATAGTTTTAAAACGTTTAGCTTATAGTTTTGTGCGATGATATAGGCGTCTTATACTCGTACGATATAATCGGACCGGTGGCTTAATATGTGTTCGATCTGGGAATTGAACCCAGGACCACTATATTCTGTATCCTACAATAATTATTACGAGATCATGATCAGCTGAACAGCTTCTCTAATAAAAGAATATGGTACACTCACTTTGACGAGCAGAGAGTCGTAGTAAGGCGAAATGACAGCTCCAGCATAAGTTGAAGCCGAGTCCAGACGAATGCCCATGCCCTCGCCAGATCTAAAGTAATTAAAACAATATTTGTAGGTATATCATGACAGTATTTAATTAATGTAATTGATAACAATCAGTCGTGGAGAATGGAAGGAAATTATCGGATAGAAGCCGCGTTCGGCTAAGGTATCGTAGAACGCCTACCTGCACGATGGGACTCAATGGACAGACCTAAAGAAGATAGTCGACAGTGGCTAAATGAAATGGACATAGTGCTTTGTGGCGTTCCTTGGGGAAGATTAACGTACAGCAGTATAGTCCATCCACAGATTAAAATGATGATAGTACGGTGGTACATTCAATTTAAAAGCAATATTTTATGCTTTATGGTACTCTAGGCATAAGCCCCATGGAATCAAGTTCAGTAGAGGGCTGCCATAGACTAAAATAGACATGTTGACACCATCAATCAATTGATGTACTTTTTAAAACTGTCAAAACGAAACTCTCCCACAGATTTTGTATCGCACTACAAGCAAGTGACGTCACTATTTTGTCAACTCAATTAAACTACTTTTTTCAATTACAATGCGACCAAAAATCGTAATTTACAGGTAATTTAAAATCAATTAAGTTTTTAAGACCATAATGAAGGGTCTTTTTAAAAAAAGTTGTGGTTTCGAATTATTGGGGTATGGTGTCAAACTGTCTATTATGGTAAAGCAGTAGTTTATCAAATGATTTCTTACCTAAATACTTCAATCCTTCCCGTGCTAGGCTGGAAGTTGTTCCCAGGATCTTTAGTAGTAACTTGGCACTGGATGGCAAAGGCTTATGTTCAGCAGTGGACTACCAAAGGCTGACATAATAATATGATACTGGACTTTTATGTTCTTCTTACCTGAACACTTCAATCCTTCCCGTGCTAGGCTGGAAGTTGTTCCCAGGATCTTCAGTAGTGACTCGGCACTGGATGGCGAAGCCCTGGGCGTTGATCTTGTCCTGTGTCAGCCCCATTTCAGGGAGCGTCATGCCTTCGGCCACCCGGATTTGAGACTGTACCAAATCTATGCCGGTCACTTCTTCTGTGATTGTGTGTTCTACTTGTAACCTGGAAAGATGTGAGCAATGGATTAGGTATATTTTGAAATTATTTCTGGATGTTTTTCATAGTGCCTTCTTTTCATACGTCAATCTTTGAGATAATTTGTTACTCGTTTCTTAAGATTTGTTTTGTATTAATTAAAAAGGTAAAAGGCATCTGTCGAATTCATGCGTTTTAGATAGATTTAATTTCTCGAATCGACCTTGAGCTCTGGAATTTAATTAGGTAACAGAACATTAATTAAGAAAAAGGAGAAAAGATTTTAATATTTTTCAGTTTGCACATTATATATTCGAGATGAGTGCGTTATTTCACTTTCACAAAAGCATAATTGAAAAGGGATTTTTGTCCTTTTGGCTTTTTGAACAAAGAGACCCATTTTCAGTACATGATGGAATAAGCCAAAAATAAGGCCTATCTGTGCCACTATTTTCGAAGTAATATGAATACCAACCTAGCGTTAACTTCAATGAAGTAGAAGTTCCCTTTGTCATCGAGCAAGAACTCCACAGTACCAGCGTTCTCGTATCCCACGTGGCGTGCCAAATGTGTCGCGCAGTCTACCATTTTTTGGCGAGTCTGAAAATTACAATAAACACATTATTCTACAGTCTACACGTCAAATATACAAAGAACCAAAACAGGATATTTACACTCGTATTCACAAACGATGCTTGCTTAAGTGAAGCAGCAAATCTAACGCACAGCGTTGAATATAACTCTGTGATTGGTTCGTGTGTCATCCTGTGCGTCCACGCGCACTGTGAGACCTCATAGTAATGTTTGTGAATACGGGCGTGTGATTGGTTCGTGTGTCACTCCGCCACTCGAGTATTGTCTATGAATAGGTTTTTGGGACGCTGTGCGTCCACGCGAACTGTGATATCTCATAGTAATGTTTGTGAATACGGGCGTGTGATTGGTTCGTGTGTCACTCCGCCACTCGAGTATTGTCTATGAATAGGTTTTTGGGACGCTGTGCGTCCACGCGAACTGTGATATCTCATAGTAATGTTTGTGAATACGGGCGTGTGATTGGTTCGTGTGTCACTCCGCCACTCGAGTATTGTCTATGAATAGGTTTTTGGGACGCTGTGCGTCCACGCGAACTGTGATATCTCATAGTAATGTTTGTGAATACGGGCGTGTGATTGGTTCGTGTGTCACTCCGCCACTCGAGTATTGTCTATGAATAGGTTTTTGGGACGCTGTGCGTCCACGCGAACTGTGATATCTCATAGTAATGTTTGTGAATACGGGCGTGTGATTGGTTCGTGTGTCACTCCGCCACTCGAGTATTGTCTATGAATAGGTTTTTGGGACGCTGTGCGTCCACGCGAACTGTGATATCTCATAGTAATGTTTGTGAATACGGGCGTGTGATTGGTTCGTGTGTCACTCCGCCACTCGAGTATTGTCTATGAATAGGTTTTTGGGACGCTGTGCGTCCACGCGAACTGTGATATCTCATAGTAATGTTTGTGAATACGGGCGTGTGATTGGTTCGTGTGTCACTCCGCCACTCGAGTATTGTCTATGAATAGGTTTTTGGGACGCTGTGCGTCCACGCGAACTGTGATATCTCATAGTAATATTTGTGAATACCTACGGGCATTAGAATCTGATTTACATATGTCAAGTCAAGAAGTGCAATTACATTATAGTCGGGTCATGAAAATGAAAAATATTTACGAGCAAAAAATATTCACTTTGACCAATATTTTGGCACTCGTTCGGTCAAGTAATAGAAGTGAAATCTAATAGTATCTATAGCCCAGCTTATTACTTTGGCAATCTTGCAAACTGATAAGGCGTATATTAACATTGACAATGAAAGAAAGAAAGAAAGAAAGAAAGAAAAAATGTTTATTCAGTATCATCGACAATACACTTACAATACTTATTATTATTTAATGAGAAGGTAATTACAATGACACTGAAAAGGTATCCACTCAGCATGGTGTCGTAGCATCTCAGTAGATAATGCCACGACGCTGGTCTTCCGTGGACACCCAAACAGGGAGAGCACTACTGAGCACAACAATTGCTTATGAATCACGAACGCATTTGTACTAAGAATACATAATAATATAAATGCCTCATAAATACGTTACATATTGTACACCTTATATGTATTTAACTCTTTACATAATTATAAGAAAGTTAGCACACAGTTACCATAACAACCATAGAGGTTAATAACTCTATGATAACAACCATAGCAATACATGTTACTGATGAAACGTGGAACTTGAAGTGAGTGCATTTTAATTAACATTAATTTCAGTTTGCTGTCCTATGAGTCTTTTTNTTCCCATGTTTTACTGTCCACAGCATTGGTGAACGTCTTGAACACTTCGGGCGAGAAGTACACTGCCCGGCTACTACTGGACAACGGTAGTACAGCCAACTTCGTAACGCAACGCTTGTGTGACAAGTTGGGTTTGTCACGATGCGGCACGAGAACAAAGGTCACAGGTATTAACAACCATATCTCTTCAAGTACACAGTCTTGTAACCTCACAATCGAGTCTTTATGCTGTGCCTACAATCTAGATATAGTGTGTCATGTCTTGCCTGAGATCTCTAATGTTCTACCCTCTTCTTTCGTGAACATAAATCACGTACCTATTCCCCCAGGTCTTCAGTTAGCTGACCCGAATTTCAATATTCCGTCGGTCATCGACATCCTGGTAGGCGCGGAAGTCTTTTGGAATGTCTTAGGTTCCAATTTCATTGATTTAGGTAAAAATCTCCCCAAATTGTGTGAAACAAAGTTTGGCTGGTTGGTTTCAGGAAGCGTATCATGCCAAAAGAATAGCACTACCTTTCAGTCCTGTAACCACACAAGTTTAGCCCTATGACACTCCTGACCTATCTCAATTTTGGGAACTTGATTATGTCTCACCTAATCACTCACAATCCTTAGAGGAAAGAGCATGTGAGAAACATTTTTTTGAGACAACCTTCCGCAAGGACGACGGTCGTTTTGTCGTCTCTATGCCACTGAAGCAAGATCCAAGTTTACTGGGACTCTCTTACGAAAACGCTAAATGTAGGTTCTTGTCGTTAGAACGACGTTTTCACCGCGATCCCATCTTCAAAGATCGTTATTTTGATTTCATGCACGAGTATGAATCACTAGGTCACATGACATTAGACAATGATTGCGCCTCTATGCCTAACAGCTCTAAGGGAAATTATTTTATTCCACATCACGGCGTTATTAGGGAGTCTAGTTCCACTACTAAGCTTCGCGTAGTTTTCGACGCTTCAGCTCCCACTTCTTCAGGAGTGTCTCTTAATGACCTCCAAATGGTAGGGCCTGTCGTTCAGGATGATCTATTCTCCATTTTAATACGCTTTCGCCAACATAAGTACGTGATTTCGGGCGACGTAGAGAAAATGTACAGAGCGATAGAATTAAATCCCATCCAACGACCCTTACAAAAAATCTTATTTCGGTTCGATACAAAGGAACCTCTTAAAACCTACACTTTAAATACAGTAACTTATGGTACTGCTTCTGCGCCATATTTGGCCACCAAATGTCTAGTGAGCCTCGCGGACAATTTAGAAGACAGTCACGTTAAATCCGCTATACAACGTGATTTTTACGTAGATGACTTCCTCCATTCTGCTAGTTCAATTTCAGAAACCATCGATGTTGCTAAACAAGTAGCATCGGTACTGTCTTCAGCCCAACTTCATCTACGTAAATGGAAATCAAATTCTCCCGAAATTTTGTCTCAAATTAGTGGCGCGCATTCTGGTGAGCCAAATAATTCTATTGACTTTTCAGAGCAGGGCCAAGGCAACTGTCAGTCTAAAACTTTAGGTCTTCATTGGATTTGTAATACAGACAACTTAACCTTTTCAATTCATATAGAACATTCTAAAATTATAACAAAACGTCACATTCTTTCGGTAATAAGCCAAATTTTTGATCCCCTGGGACTTGTGGGACCATGTGTCGTCGAAGCAAAAATCATTATGCAACGTTTGTGGCTAGAAAAGTACGATTGGGATGACACGGTTTCACTTGAAATTAGGGACTTATGGTTTTTGTTTGAAAGTACTTTATCTTTTCTTAATAAACTTAACATCCCACGCTGGATTTCCTGTGAGGAATCGTCTATTTACGAGGTCCATGTTTTCACAGATGCATCCGAGAAGGCCTATGGAGCTTGCCTGTACATTCGATCTTACAACCCTGGCTCAAACTCGGTGCATGTTCAACTTGTGGCGTCTAGAAACCGCATAGCTCCCATAAAACCCACCACCATACCTAGACTTGAACTCTGTGGTGCGTTGTTAGGTGCAAGATTGTGTACAAAAGTAGTTAACTCGCTTACTTTGCACATAGATAAATGTAGATTTTGGTGTGACTCCACAATAGTTTTAGGTTGGCTGTCAACTCCATCTACTCAATTAAAACCCTTTGTGCGAAATAGAGTCAACGAAATTCAAGAGAGTACTTGTGGTCATACCTGGAGCTACGTGCCGTCAAAGGACAACCCGGCAGATCTCGTTTCACGGGGCCTAAGAGCTGACGTCATTGGCGACACCCGTCTGTGGTGGTCTGGACCGTCATTTTTAACACAGAGTGAAAATGAATGGCCCGTCATGCCTAATGTCGTGAAGCGTGATCTACCTGAAGTAGCTTCTCACATCATTAGCAGTAGTGATGTTGTAGATAATGCTTGTAGTCGTAGTAGCGCTTTCTTAACCAATAACATTGACTTAACAATTATTCAATCTTTAATATCGCAATACTCAAGCTTTACTAAGTTACAGCGAGTTGTAGCCTATTTGTGTAGATTTGTTCATAACCTTAAAAACATAAATAATAAAAGGTGTGGCAATCTCTCTTTATTTGAATTAAAAAGTTCTCATGACTTAATTTTACATTGTGCTCAACTTCAAATGTTTCCTAACGAATACAAATTATTACAGTCCAAGAAGACATTGCCACACAAAAATAAATTAATTTCATTATCACCATTCTTAGATAACAATGGTCTTATTCGCGTAGGCGGGAGGCTTGATAATTCCCCCTACGACTATAATTTAAAACATCCAATCTTATTATGTGGCTCTCATTACATTACTAAACTTATCTTTCAAATGCAACATATAAAACTTTTACATGCCGGCCCTCAATTACTTTTGGCTAGCGTTCGCCAAACCTATTGGCCTCTTAAAGGCAGAAATCTTTCAAAGCATGTTGTTAACAAATGTGTAATTTGTTACAGACATAGAGCTCAAAATGTACAACCTGTAATGGGACAGCTACCTCTTAATAGAACACAATTAGATTTTCCATTTCAAAACTGTAATGTTGACTATGCTGGCCCAGTTTTGATAGCCGATCGAAAGGGACGTGGTTGTAAGTTGTTGAAATCTTATCTGTGCATTTTTGTTTGTTCTGCAGTGAAGGCTGTACATTTGGAGCTTGTTACGGACCTCACCACCGAAGCTTACATGGCTGCTCTGAATCGGTTCGTGGCGCGGCGAGGCAAGCCTCAAAGCATCACGTCCGATAATGGCACTAACTTTGTCGGTGCATCGAATGATCTGCAAAGGTTCCTTTCGAGTAATAATAATCTAGCATCTCATATAGCCCAGGAAGGCATTGAATTTATTTTTACTCCTCCCTACACACCCCATTTTAATTCATTAGCCGAAGCTGCAGTCAAATCATGTAAGCATCATTTAAAAAGATTATTGCATCTCACTCATTTTACATTCGAGGAAATGACAACTTGCCTTTGTAAAATCGAGGCCGTCCTCAATTCACGACCTCTTACCTCTCTTTCTTCTGACCCTAACGATTTTTCGGCTCTTACACCTTCCCATTTCCTAATTGGGCGACCATTGCTGACTGTACCTCACCCTCATGTGGCTGACGTCACTATCACCCGTCTGGATCGATGGAAACGCATCCAACACGTTCAGCAACACTTCTGGCGACGGTTTCATAACGAGTATGTCTCTCTGCTACAGACCAAGACGAAATGGTTGGCATCCACAGGCGAGGTCAAGCCTGGACAGCTGGTGCTCATCAAGGAGAAGACCCCGCCACTGCTCTGGTCACTAGGGCGNTTAGGGCGGGTCGTGAAGACCTATCCAGGCGTGGATGGCATCACCAGGGTGGCCGAATTGAAGACCAAGAGGGGGACCATACGTCGAGCCTTCAACTGCATCTGCCCGCTTCCACTTCATTGAAGAAGATGACTCTTCAACCCGGGGAGTATGTTGGCGCTTCTCGAGTCCTCGGGCTTCATCGAGATCGATCGGCCATCATCGGCTCCGCGCGAGGCGCCGGCACACTCCGTACGTGCCCGACGCCCACTCAGCCTCACGACCGTCACCGGCGTCAGACGCGGCCCTCCCACGTAGGCGCGAACTAGCGATATATTTAATCATTACACCTATGAAATACAGTCCGTCCTTTAATTTATATCTAACGTCNTTAAATATATCCAGTATAACATGAAATGGAAACACGTACAAAAAGAGACAGTAGATCATCCAAAATAATGCTTTGCATCCTAACAAAATTAAATAACAAAAATCTAAGTTAAGATTAAGTATGTTTTTAAAGTTAAATATTTCAATAGAATGTAATCTTTCAAGGCAAAGACTATAAATATTGGACAATAATATGGTAAAAAAGTAACATGCGTTAAAAAGATCAAAAAGATCAAAAGTTAAGAACCTCCACGCTACAATCACTAGCTCAAACCAAATGGTGACTAAAAATTCGCCTCAGGTCATCTTCAGAGCGCAATCTGTGGCGCGGCTTACCGTCATCCTGACGTATGTAGATTTTACCTTCTCGGGTCCAAACATATTTGTAGCTATGAGTACGGGAGAGTTCCCTCGCCTTTTGATGCAGCTGTCGGTTGTACTTGGTAAGCCGCTCGTTGACGTAGAATGGGCGTGGTGGACCTGATGATGGCAGACCTTCGGTGGTTACACCTCGACGCACGCGCGCAGCCCGCAGCAGAGCGTCACGAGTGGAACGGCGGGACAGACGTACCGCTATGGGCCTTGGGCGGGCGGGGCCGTCACCCCGCGCCGCCGTCCGCGGCGGGCCCGCTCTTTCCGCACTCACCACATCCCTCTCATCCAAGTCGACCCCGATCCTTTTTGCGAGAGCGATAACTACGTGGGTGCTGTTCTCGTTGGCTTCCTCCGGACACCCAGCTATCTCCAGGTCGTTGAGCAGTAACACTTGGTCTCGGTCATGTATTTCTGCTTGCAGGTCAGCTATTGTGTTTTCGAGAGCTGCGATGCTTGGGTGGTTAATGCCTTGGTTCTCCAGTTCCTGCACCCTGGTCTCCAACCGCTCAATCCGACTATTTTGCGTCTTAATTGTCTCTGTCAGCTCAGTAATAGCCATGCGCAAGCTGCTTATCTCGCTCGTAATCAAACCACTCATAAAAGATTTCAATTCATCGACCACATCGTTGGAATGGATACCCTCAAAGTTGGACCCCGGGCTTGATACTTCCGGCTCATAAAAGGTGGTCTCATTCGTGGGTTGTTCAAATCTCCTGCGATGTGTTACGTTGTGATTGTCTTCAATACTACCGGCTGAGGGGCCCGGTGGTTCCATATCGTCTGCCGTCATAATTGGGCGAATTGGTGTATTAAGATTTCCTGTTTTAGGTTTCTTGTTCATACACTCCGGGCAGTTCCATTGATCTTTTTTCTTCATTATGCCAAACAATTTGCTTGATACATTGCCACACTCTAGGTCGTACACCCCTTTGCAAACCATACATCGCAAAAATTCTCTCCTATGTACTGGTCTTTGACAACCGGCGCATTTTTGTGTTGCACTCATAATGATTAATTGTACAACAAATCACGCTAACGCCCTCTATCGGAGATTTGGAAAGCACTATTGAATAGTCACGTCACTTCGCCAAACCAGTCCCAAAGGCAGATCCCGAATGCATTAGTACTTCAGATAGGTTTCGATAGATGGCGCTATACGACTCAACTTGCTTGTAATTATTTTTACGAGTCACGAAATAGGTTATAATAATTGTCTTTGCATAAAACAATTGTCAATCACAGCACTAGGTATTGTTCCCTCCTCGGCACATAGCAATTGTTCGTATTTTGTCTCGTTTCAAGCGGCACGTTCGNAATGCAAAGTTTGCAGCTGAAATAAAAATATTCTTCCTGATAGACTTGAGAAGGATCTTGAAATTAACTTAGTAAATGTAATCAAATTTACCTACTTATCCCCTTTTTGTTTCATTAAATTTTATTTCCATTTAAGGGTACCTATATCAATTTTATTTAAGTTGTTGTACTATAAAAATAAGTAGATAACACAACATTATAAGACGCCTATAAGAACACTGAGGGGTCTCGCAAAAGGTTTTATTTGCTATAATAACATAATAAGGTGTATTTAATCGTCTGACAAGGCATTTATTGTCCCCTCATGGAAATAGAGTGACTTTGTTTCTACTGGGAATCGAACCCAGGACCTCCAAGACTAACGTCCTACTTCGTATAAGACGCCTATAAGAACAGCAATGGCTCTCTCAGAACGTTTCATAAGACATCGCATCAGACGCCTATAAGAAGAACCTGTAAAAACAGCGATGTTTCTCTCAAAACGTTTCATTTGCTATAATATCATTATAAGGTGTATTTAATCGCCCTACAAGGCAATATTGTGTTCTTTTGAAAATAGAGTGGCTCTGTTTGGAGTCTGAACATACAACTCTATAAGTAAATTAGAGGATTGTAGGTACAATAGTAGGTAATAACTGGTAGATATAGAGGAAATTCCATTACCCAAAACTGTGACTATTGTTTGGTCAACAAAAAAAAACAAAAATAAATGGTTGACCAAAAACTATGCTCTACATACAGTGTGAGTCACGTTAAAGTGTACATATGAAAATAGATGAAACTAGACCTATTTTTATCGACAAAAAAGTGGTCAAAATTTTTTTGAGATTTTTTTAAAAATTTTTATAGAATTTTTTTTCTTTCAAGTTATTATTTAAAAAAAAAAGTAATAACTTTTAAACTAAGAGGTATATCCTGATAAAATAAAAACAGTAATAATGCTAAATAATAGACGATACTAAAAACATACATAAAATACTCAGAAAATGCCAACAAATAATAAAAAAATATACTTTTTGAAAAAAATCTGCTTAAAAATTCGTGTTTTTTTGGTTATTTGATAAATTTCTCCAAAAAATGTCCCTATAAAAGGTGTTTTTTATTACTTTGAATTATTTTCTATCGTATTACCTTTGTNTCTCTATGCAGGTTCTATTGTTTTAGTAATATGCTTTTAAATTGCAAAGTTAAAAAAACCTTAACCTACCCTAAAAAGGGAAGAAGTAACCTTAACCAATGAATATTAAACTTGACCCTAATAGGATTTCAGAACGTAACGTATGCATCTAGAGCGTAATCAATATTAATTTATGGTGATATGGTGCTAGTGACATCCTTATCTTTACTATTGTTTTCAGTCAATAACTGTGTTTTATGCAAATTAGCGTTTTTAAATAGTAGGTATATCAGAAACAAAACAAAACAGTATTGCTTCATCATTTTAATTCTGATAGGATTCAATCTCTGAATATATCATTTCTCATCTAATCAATAAGCCCAAAGCACAAGTTATCTTCACAATAATTGGGTTGATTGTCATATAAATATCGTATGCATATATCCGAGTATGTTGTCACGATTTCCGATGCAATCTTTAAGCCGTAGGATCCCTGACGATAGTCTAGTCCGTGAGCACGTAGAATTTTGTCCAATGACCCCAAGCTACCCATCCTTATCGCTCGCGCGTAATTATGTTGCTATCGCGCTCGCATACTCACTGCGGGTGCCAGTCGCACAGTCGCGACAGCAATATAATTACGCGCGAGCGATAAGGATGGGTAGCTAGGGGTCATTGGACAAAATTCTACGTGCTCACAGACCAGGCTTTAGACTGTTTGAATATTATTGGGTAGGTTGTCTGGAAGATAGGGCTTTATGACGGCAGACCGCCTAATTTGTGCCGTCTCTTTTGTATGTTATAATTCTTTCCTTTTTTTTATTTTGTATAGTGTACAATAAAGTTTTAATTCATCTTAGACTGCATCTCACTTAACATCAGGTGAGATTGCGGTCAAATACCTGACTTGTTCTTCATAAAAAATCTCTCTTTCTCATCAAATACTTACTTCAGGGTCTAGATGCGGCGCGGGCGCAATCTCAACGACCTTTTGGTGCCGCCTCTGCACCGAACAGTCTCGCTCGTACAAATGGACCACGTTGCCAGCTTTGTCACCTGTTTCGGAATTAAAACACTATTAGAAGTGTAATTCTTCTTTATAAAGTAGTAATAGGCCACGGGCTGGAAGACGTAGCGTGGGCAGACCTCCCACTAGGTGGACCGACGATCTGGTAAAGGTCGCGGGAAGAGCTTGGATGCGGGCAGCGCAGGACCGTGCATTGTGGAAAACCTTGGAGGAGGCCTTTGTCCAGCAGTGGACGTCATTTGGCTGAAACGAACGAACGAATAGGCATTATCGCGAACGAATGCAACAGGCAAGTCAATGGCGGTGTCCCGCATTCCCCACTCATATGGCTCATGGTGAAAAGTCAGGTAGGTTTTTTTTAGTGAGTAGGCCCTACCTTTCTGATAGGGAGAGCAACATCTTGGGGTGGACCGGGATGCCTAATCGTCTCGAAAGTGCCACGCTCAAAGGAAGTTCTAGGACATAATTTTTTTCTAAGATTCGCCATGTTATGACAGGGCCTTGTTTTTTTCCATAGCAGACTTAAGCACATGTCGTATCTTCCCTATTTGTTATAATCTAGGCACTATATGAGACAAGATACTAAGTTAAGCACAATATGCATTGTCTGATGTCTCTCGACTGCACATCAAACAAAGAGGATTGATTCTACTGCTCAAATGCAACAATTTTTCTACATAAAGAATATTCAAATTCTCAAGAAATCTGTATAGACAGCAAAACTTACCCAACAACTGAACTTCAATATGCCTGAGTCGTTCGATGAACCTCCCAATGAACATGGACCCGTTTCCGAAGGCACCTAACGCCTCGGACGAAGCTCGCTCGAAGTTTGAAGCCACCTCGCTCATTTGGAACTTTAATTGGATTCACTAAATGAATCACAAAAACAGAACGGGACTATTCCCACCTCTCGTTCCCACCACTGCAACTCCTGTGTAGCCAGGATCTACAGCTTGACCGCCACAAAAACCCAACCAATGAAGGTCAAGTTTGTCCCGGGGGAAAGTTAAACTGTCATTGGACCCGCAACGAAATTAATCAGAAGAACATAGGAGGAGTTCGAAATTAAGGTTCGACTTCCCTCCATTGCAAAGCGGATGACAGGTGACAAACAAAGGTTTAAACCTTTAAGAAAGATTATGCACCACGGACAATAAATTAAATTAAGGGGGCCTATCTTATGAGCAATTAGTTTATCAGAAAAACAGAAGTAAAATATTAACTTACCCAACAACTGCACTTCAATATGCCTGAGTCGTTCGATGAACCTCTCAATGAACATGGACCCGTTTCCGAAGGCACCTAACGCCTCGAACGAAGCTCGCTCGAAGTTTGAAGCTACCTCGCTCATCTCCAACTTTCATTGGCCCGATATTAATCAGAAGAACGGAACTATAGATATCAAGACTTACCCAGCAACTGCACTTCAATATGCCTGGGTCTTTCGATGAATCTTACAATGAACATGGATCCGTTTCCGAAGGCACCTAACGCCTCGGACGAATCTCGCTCGAAGTTTGAAGCCACCTCGCTCATCTCAAACTTTCATTGGACCGATATTAATCAGAAGAACGGAACTATAGATATCAAAACTTACCCAACAACTGAACTTCAATATGCCTGAGTCGTTCGATGAACCTCTCAATGAACATGGATCCATTTCTAAAGGAACCTAACGCCTCGGACGAAGCTCGCTCGAAGTTTGAAGCCACTTCGCTCATCTCAAACTTTCATTGGACCGATATTAATCAGAAGAACTGAACTTATAGATATCAAGACTTACCCAACAACTGGACTTCAATATGCCTGGGTCTCTCGATGAACCTTTCAATGAACATGGACCCGTTTCCGAAGGCACCTAACGCCTCGGATGAAGCTCGCTCGAAGTTTGAAGCCACCTCGCTCATTTCTCGGACCACACGCATACCGCGACCGCCACCGCCGTAGGCAGCCTGGTAAAATAACACAGAAATATGAATTTTATTCTATTATACATGAAGAGGTAAAGTTTGCAAGCTTGTTTATAGGAAATAATCTCTGGAACTACTAAACCAATGTTGAATTTTTTTTACCCATAAAAGTCATGCCATATTATTCCCACCTGAGTGACAGGCTAATATACTCGCGAACAAAGGCTTTTATATGTATTAACCACTTACTTGATTTAACCTAGTACTTACGAGATAGTGTATTGAGTCAATTTTTTCTCTAAAAGCATTTTTGCCAGAACAGTAAAATGAGGATTGTCTGATGTAAAACTCTATGAGATACACTGAATCGAAATTGATTATTAAAAAAAACTCTAATGGGCGTGTATTTCTGTGAAATAAATGAATTTGAATTTTGAGAAGTATTGAATGAAAATTACCGTAAGTACTGACCGTTCGTAACAAATTTTAATTCATATCTGGACTTATAAAATGCACAAAACCTACCTTAAATATGACCGGTAGTCCATGTTGCTTGCAGAATTCGAGAGCCTCCTCTTTGGTAGTCACGGGACCATCAGTACCAGGCACGATAGGGACCTCTGGAAATAATAAACAAGTTGAAAAATATCCTTACACATCTCATCATAATAAGGTCATTCATCGTCATCATCAGCCGAGCTAAGATGCGTGCCGTGATATACTCTTATCGACGTCAAAATGTATGGGCGAAATCGATAAAATGGCGTGATAACCCTTAGAGTAGGCGCACACCGTTGATTTTTAGTTGGCCGATAGTTGTGCCCGATTTTAATTTGTATGAAGAATCGGCCAAATCGAATCGGCGTAGTGTGCGCACTCCCATACATGCCCATACTGATCAACTGCCCGACTAAACTATCGGCCGATGAAAAATCAACAGTGTGCGCTTACTCTTATAAGGCCTACTATAGTCTTCACTACAGGAGAACAACACTCTCTACTAGAGAGGCAAATGGAGGTGTAGATGATACTTGCTGATGATGATGATGCCTACACAAACACATCATTGTTTTTATTGTGATACAATCTATTACAATATTACCAAGATATTGTTTTTTATATCTTGGTAATATCGTAACCCAAAATGTGTTACTTATCAACAATAACATTATTTTGGTTACACAAATTCCGGCAGATTGCTTTGTTTTGGTCACGTAAGTGATTGTTTAGTGACGCAATTGGTAGTTATAAACACAGTACGCGTGTAATCACATTGAGAATAAGTAAAATTATACATATTTGCCTACTAGATAAGATGTTTAGAATAAAAGTTGTGACCCACTAATGTTGTGAATGTTATCACAAATTAGTTGGGAGCTAGTAAGTGGAGCTGATGATTATGGTGAGAGGCCTCGAAGGCTGTAGCACAGAATAATAATAAGTACTGCTGTAGGTACTTAACAAATTGTAACACTCTTTTTGTTTAAATTGTCTTATGGAATACTGTGATTACTCGTAGACACATTGTTTACGTGATTTGAAATTATTTTAAAACTTGATACAATGTCAAGCATAGATTGAGGGTTTTAATTGGTTGAATTTCAGAATTTCGACCAATCACAGTACAGAATCTAGGGCTGATATTGAATCATTTTTGTGCGTTATTTTGTAACACGGACCTAACTGTAATGTGTGTACATTTAATAGATCCAGTATAAACTCCCATACTTTAAAAGGTAACACATAAGCTGTACGCAATCGCCCTACATAACCAGTAAAGCGCGCTTAAGGTTCGGCCAATCCGCGTGCCCGACTGCGATCAGTAGAAATCAGTAGCATGTCATCGCGCAAAAGGCTGCACGCGTTGGTTTGGCCGAACCTTTAATGCTTATCTAGTGCAGTAGTAGAAACAAACATACTGGCTTCGATGGCAGCCTTTCTAGCGGCGACCTTGTCCCCCATCTGTTGCACCACGGCCGGCGAGGGCCCGATGAAACGGAGCCCTGCGTTGATGATCGCCTGCGCGAAGTCTGACCTAGGGATAGAACATTTTGAAATAAATAATATTACGGGTCTAATCGTGAGTACTTACAGTGTGAAGTTTTAGGGCCTCTGCTAAAACTCGATAATGAACCGCGCGAGTTTTAGTGGTGGCCCTTAAGTGTAATGGAACGCGAAAATACCTCACACCTGCTAATTGGCAGTATCAATTCAATTACTGTTATGGTGCTTAATTAGGCACAATATTTCGTCATTAGGTTATATTCAGTGTGTTACAGAAGCAACACATTACCATATTAGGTAGGTCATCTAGTCTAGACGCGAACCAATCTGGAAAACTTTTTTTCTAAGTGACACCTAAAACAGAACGTAGGGCTTATTTCATATTCAAGGCACCGCGTCACCCCATCTAATCGTTTCATTAAAATATTGAAATATCTTTTCCAGGGTACTTCTATACATTTCACGTAGGTATTGCTTGCGTCCCAAAACCCCGAAAAATCGATAGAGCTCCCTAAGGCCTAAGTTACGCCTACGTCTAAGCCGATCTGCGTCACACGCTATTAGTCACGTAGACTAATTACTCTTCAAAGAGAAAAGCAAATATTGCACTACAGTATAAAAGTAAAGAAACTCAACCCTAAATACTGAATCACTGGTGGTGCGTTGCCAAAAATTTTTTGACGTAATAACTGACGAAATGAAATAACTATTATTTTAGAAAAATTGAGTCTACATTCCGTTTTAATTACTTTATTTCACAAAAATAAGAATAAAGGCTTCATAAGGCTCTTAAGCCCGTTTTCACCATCAATCTTTAATTTTTAAGTGACCCCTATGGTAAATCTGTGGATATGTTACAGGAAATGTATGAATTCTAGGAATTGTATACTATTCCTAGGAAATGTATACAATTCCGAAGCTATTTAGGAAATGTATAAAATATTGCTTCAGAGATTTTTTAATACGCACATATCCTAGGACATGTATACTTTTCCTAGGAATTTTATAGAATTCCAATATTGTATTAGGAAATGTATAAAACTAAGCGGCACAAGCGCGGTCATGTGATTTAGTGCCCCTCAGTACGCCTAAAATTTTATTTAGACAAACCACATTGACCGATAGGTACTTTTAACTCACAACTATTATTGTTTAGCCTGAAAGTTGTTTTCGCACTATTATATTTTGACTGAAAAAAATATTTGCCTATTGGCATACCTTTCTTTCGGCATCACGCATATTACGCTGAAGTATTGGAAAACCCTAATTTTAACATATCTTTTATTAAACTATTATTGACATGAAGGTTTTAGTACTCCTGTAGCTGGATAACAAAGTCTCGGTTAGGTTAGGTTAGACTTGCGACCTTGTCACATACACAGCGGCCGCGGCGCGGGAGCGCCATTTAAGTTTCGGAAAAAAAAAGAAATCTTAATTACATTTCCGATTGCTGTTTAGGAAATGTGTAAATTTCCTAGGAAATGTGTCTAATATAATTTACATCACACATTTCCGGGTGATTTTAGGACTTATACACAAATCCTAGGAATTGTATACAATGACGGATTTCATACATTTCCTGTAACAGATACATAACAGGAATTTCATTTTCATAGGGGTCACTTAAAAATAGGGATTGATGGTGAAAACGGGCATGAATTCTTCATACATTGGACTAAAATAGCGTAGTTAAAATACCATTTTAATAATAGCTGGTCGTCTAAATTGAAACAATTGTTAGTGCACTTGTTAATGTTGCTAGACGCGTCGTCTGCAATGTGATACGTCAATACAGTTGAGTTCAATGTCTAATGAGTCAATTTGTTCCTTAACTTGTGGCAATTTACTGCCAATTTAATATGAAGATTTTTCCAAGTGGAATTTTTATAAGTTAGCTAAGTGTAACTATGCCAACTATTCAACAGATTACTGCACCGCTCTTTAGATGACGAGAAGGTCGACATACAAGGCTATAATTTAGGATTAGTCTAGAATCTAGGTCCTAATTTTTAGGGTTCCGTAGTCCTGACAAGGAACCCTTATTTTACTGTACAAAATATGTATAATATAAGCTGAAAACTTCTTGAGTGTATTTATTCGAATATTGTAAAAGAATGGTGAACTTTTGTAGAAATATAGCACAATCACTTCAAATTCTCTCAAGAGTGGAGTGTCTGTCAGTAACGTGCAGGGGTATATCATATTATATCATTCGGTAAATAAGTATGTATAATTTAGATGATGGTCGCTACATTATTTATGTGCAAACTGCATGAAGCCACGAAAAAAAAAAAAATTAGAACTGCATTAGAATGTAAAAGTATGAGGAATATAGATGACCCACGCTGAACTGTCCCGCCAAACTCAATGACAGGGGGGCGCTACCATCGTTCAACTATATGGTTTCCAACATGGCAAAGATCGGAACCAGCGATCCGGTATTGACGGTGGCGCCCCACTGTCAATGTCATGGATAGGACAGTTCAGTGTTTTGGAACTATACATAGACACTTAGTTACTATACATACCTCTCAGACAGCAGTCCATATCCAGGGTGGACTGCATCAACGTCATTCTCCTTCGCGACCCTGATGATCTCTGGAATGCTGAGGTACGCTTCCACTGGAGGCAGACCTTTGCCAACTAAATAAGACTCGTCAGCTTTTTGTCTGCGAAAAAAGAAAGTGTTTTTGACGCAATTTTCTTTTGGCAAAGACGTTAATTTCAGATCACACTTATTTATTTTAGCTGTGCACTGATGTAAAGATTTTAGTATTGCACCATATTGATCAGTAAAGAGCGCTTTTACATTAGGCGACTTTAGCAGCGCAACAGACGGCAGCGACGTTTTTATGAAGTGAAGGCAGGCATCCGCTGCTTCCCCGCTGCTGTCGCGCTTCATACGCCCTAATTTGAAAACAATCTTTCAATCAAACTTGAAAAAATTGAACTGCTTAAGGCGGGAATCAAACCCTCGACCTTTGGCTTTAGGGTTCCGTAGTACGGAATTTGTACTCGAGGAGTGTCTCTTTCTGAGTGTCAACCCTTTGTATGCTTGTAGTTTTTGCGACTTTAATAAATCTGGATTAACAGGCTTTTGTCTTGGGGGCAATTATCAGAGAAGCGGCTGTAAACTTAAACAAAAACAATCGCCGGTATCTGGCTGTAATTAATTAGAATGTGTCAAGTCGATTAGTATCTAAGAGCCGGATCTAGATAATTTTCCTCGTATTTTTATATTTTTTACAACAGCCTAAATAAATGACAAGTTCGAAGTTCGCTTCAACTGTGTACTTTATCTTGAGATTAAAGTCTTTATTTGTAAGCATGACCGGTTAGTAGGTACAATTTATTCAGATAAAAGTTTTTTTTTTGCAAAAACAAACAAGAGATATTAAGGCGAGGTTTCCACCAAAACAAAGAGCGGAGATGAGTTTGAATAGCCAATCAGATTCCCGAACCGAAACTGAGCGAAGAGATGATGTGGAAAAAACGAAATCTGATTGGTTATTCAAATATCTCCTCGTTTGGTGAAACGGAGCTTCAGGGACCATCATCATCATCATTTTCAGCCAATAGGACGTCCACTGCTGAACATAGGCGTCCCCCAATGATTTCCACAATGGCCGGTTGGTGGCGGCCTGCATCCAGCGGGACCATACGAAGTTTATATTCAAAAACATCTCTCCGCTTTAGTGAAAACCGGACTAAAGGACCATGCGAAGTTTAAAACTGTTAATTGTGAAAAATATAAAACGTTAAAATAGCGGTATAGATGACCCACGCTGAACTGTCCCACCAAACTCAATGACAGGGGGGCGCTACCATCGTTCAACTATATGGTTTCCAACATGGCAAAAATCTGAACCAGCGATCCGGTATTGACGGTGGCGCCCCACTGTCAATGTCATCGACAGGACAGTCCAGTATTTTGGAACTATATCGTTATAGCCAATGAGATGCTGTCATAGTGACATTGACGTATTGTCAATGTCACACGAGAATCAAACGTCAGAATAGAGGGACGCGCGGAGACGACTCCGCGCGCTTTTGTGCTAAGTGATGAATTGTATCTAAAATAAGGCAATATAATGTGAAAGATGAGTATCCAGTGTTTTATTTATGAGAATAGATCGACCGGCCTCTAATAGTAATTGTATCTAAAATAAGGCAATATAATGTGAAAGATGAGTATCCAGTGTTTTATTTATGAGAATAGATCGACCGGCCTCTAATAAAACTGATTTTATCATAGTATTATCGAGTAGTAGTAAACCACTATACCTGTGCATCTGCAATTTGTCTTGTTCGCTGTATATCGCCACCGACCGGATCCCGAGTTCGGTACATGCTCGGAACACTCTGATGGCGATTTCACCTCTATTAGCTACTAATACGCTCCTAATTGGTTTGTACTCCACTGACTTTGAGTCCTGGAACAAAATAATTTAGTTGATTAAAAAAAAAAGTACATACAGTCGCCAGCATAGCAGTGTTTTTTTTTTATTAAAACGACATAAGATGCAAGCGTTTAGCTACGAGTACATGACATTAGTGTCATTGTATGTTAAAGTGTTTTTCATTCACTCCCGATAATTCAGTACAAGTTAGTAATTCATTCTTATTTAAATTACCTACTCTACGTAGTGGTATCGCACGTGCGTACTGCAATTTAAAAAGAGGATATAACATTTAAAAAATAGAACTTTGCACTGCTACTACTGACGATGGCACATCAAGTTACACACTGCGTCTTGTTATCATAAGTACGGATACTGTAATAAATTATATTTTTCGACAAAAATTTTAATTGTCGACTTCTATTCTAAGTGCACGACGAAACCGCGCGATAGGAACGCACTTTTTTTTGCTTACTATTACTTCACAAACTGTTTAACGTAGATTAATTATATCTTTTACAGTCTACTGACATTTCATTCTCATTTCCCAGTCGAGACTACATTTTGGTCCTTCGAGCCGGATCATCCGGGCCGGGCTATCACCTTTTGACGTGAAAAGGTGAAGACATAAAATATTAATGAGTAATTCGCACTTACAACGCTATTCATGGAGACTTAACAATTCTAGTTTTATTGCTATTTGTTCTTACGTTAGCGTGCGTGTGGGCCTTATCTTTTGATATGAATATTGTACTCTTGTAGTTGTACTCCATTCTACGATTGTACGTTGTGTCTTTAGTACATACCTAACCTGCTAATACGAGTATATGACGCTGGTTTTAGTGTCACGCGGACCGTCCGGTGCGGACCCGCTCGACTCCGCACGGCTTGTGGCACGGCCAACCTGTATGAACGTCTAGGGAGCGTTTAAATGCATACATATCCGCACCCTAGCAGTTCATACAAATCGGCTGTGCGGAGCGATCCGCACTGACAGTCCGCGTGACACAAACCAGCCTGAGTATTTTTGTTTTGAGTAGAATACCTACCCTTAGAAAATGAAAAAATCTATCAATCAATGGTTCTTAGTTGGTTATCGTCACTTCAGTAAACTTTTTACTTAATATTCATCACATTGATCTGCGGGACTTTGTTCTGGGACAATCCAAGTGTGAAAAATATCCATTAAGTTTTTTTTCATTTATTTATTGATCATGAATAATTTATTATCCTAGTTATTATCAAATGAGTCGTCTTAAACGCTGTTTATCGTTCTTATCATGTCCCAGACAGACCACAAAGCTGTTGATCTATTATCAAATAACACAGCGGGCGTTGACTTCTTATTAATTACGCATATAATCATACATTCCTCGCTCAGAGCAAAGTTTCATCATGTGTAAGGGCTCTCGCCCACGCGCCACGGCGACTTTTTGTCGCGCGTTTCGTAAACCAGCGACAGCATCGCTACTAACGCGCGTTAGTCGCATTTGCAACGCACTACAGAAGTGATGCCAACGCGCTACAGCAGCGCGACTGCATCGCTACAAAAAGTCGCCGTGGGCGAGGGCCCTAATGTTTCGTAATCGCAAATAAACAGAGGCACATCAGATTATGCAAATTGTGACAAAATATAACTTATTGCAACTGCATAAAATACCCCAGTGGTTAACTTGATATGCCGTCATCAACCGTAACTACTGCTGCTAACAGTCGTTTATAAGTAGGCCATTATGCTTGTATCTTGAGGAAAATCCTCAATAACAATGATTGTATAACAGCTGAGAAAAAAATATGTTTGACTACTTATAAACTTGAACTTTATACTAAGTTTTTGTTTGAACATAAATTCGGGTATTGGGTAGACGCCTAGACGACCTTGAGTATTGATCCAGATTTTTAGACGACTTTTTAAATTTCAGCCATTTGAAACGCAGTTTTTTTTTAAAGGAATTCAAAGTAAATGGTAAAATCACGAAAGTAAATAAAGAAACATATTTATCGAAGCTATCTTCTGCTTAGCTCAAGGGTTGACTGGCATTGAATGCCTTATGGCAACCAATATCAGGTAATGTGGTTTTTACTACAAGAGCACACACTTATTTAATTTACTAGAAGCAAATGGAGAGTTTGACTACGCTCTGGTTAGTCAGTAGGGTTTGGGGAGGCCTTTCTTATGGCATAATGGTCGCCTTAAAATATGGCATTAAAGGCTATAAATAAATACTTACAGTGGTTGCCGTACGATGCTTAGCCGCACTCCATGCTTGGAATTGTGATGCCGACGCCCTTAAGGCGAAGCGTGCTTTAAGTATCTGCATTTTATCACTTTAACAACCTACACACTAAATAAGTACAGCTAAATTATTTATCACTTAAAATATAGCACTGTCCCTAATTATTTCATTTTAGTAAATAATAAAAAAAAGTAAAAAAATGACTAGATTTCTTATTTTCGTTTCGAGTTGAGCTTTCGGCGCGTTCGTTTATCTGAAACAAGAAAGACAAATAAAATAAATATTTATTCGATAACCTTGACTTTAATCAATACATATTTTTATTTTGCTGAGACATGTCTAGGATTCCATATTTGAGCAAGTGTTGGTTCAAGATAATATGTACCTACTTGCACACGTGACATCTAATTAACCTTCAAGCGGGCGCGCGGTCTTTTGTAACGGCAGCGGTCGCGCGTAAACGAAAAGACCTATAGGGTCTTGTAGAGAAATAAAGCACTTATTTTCCAATAATCATTTATTATTTTGTACGCCGATATATTATGATTGTATTAAAGTCATAAATAATTTGTATTAAGTTAAAGAAACAATTATTTAATTAATTAACATAATGCAAATATTATTAGGATCAAAAACCAATTTTGGAAAACAAAATCTTTTAAAATACCTCAGAATAGTTCATATACCTGGTAAAAACGATAAAAATGGCAAAATAATGATAAAACATAATTTTATAATTTTGGTTCAGTTTAGCTTGGTCTCTGAGCTCCGTTTCATTCTCTTTTTCATCTTTTCTTAGTAATGCCTCTATTATTTCACTTTGTACTAGCAGTCTACGACTTATTTAATAAGAACAAACAGTATTGCAAGCTTAATTCAATAATATTGGGTGATAGCCGAAGAAATGTTATATCGCATAGAGTCGCGGCGTGCTTTCGACGCCGGCGCCGCGACTAAAACAATAGCAAGCCATGGGGTGGGAAAAGCGCGGAGAGCTGAGGTAAGCTCTTTATTTCACTCACAATGAGCAAGCGACAGGCTACTAAAAATCTATATATAAAAGAAAGTCGTGTTAGTTACTCCACTTATAACTCAAGAACGGCTGAACCGATTTAGCTGAAAATTGTCAGGGAGGTAGTTTAGAGCCAGGAGAAGGACATAGGATACTTTTTATCCCGTTCGAAATTTAAAAAAAAGTCTGCTTATTTATTGCCATTAAGGCGGAACAAAGTTCGCCGGGTCAGCTAGTGAGAAATATGTGTAACAAGTAAAAAAAAAGTTATGAACGAAAATATGTTAGGCGCGGTCGATTCGACGCCGCGCGCCCGCTTGAAGGTTAACAAAACAAACGAAATAAAGAATAACTTTGATTTCTTGCACTGAACGCACTTGCATCACATGCTCATATGAGTATGTACTCGGACAAGTTATTTTAAGGTAAGTGACCGTTATTTGGGACATGATTTTACCAATACCTTTTACCTTAAAATTATTCAAATTCAAATTCTTTATTAGCTTTTAGCCCTTTTCACGGAATAGGTAATAAACATGCGTCCTGAAAAGGGCTATGAGCTAATAAAGAATTTGATAATCCTTGTACTAATTTTTGGATTGATGATGATGCACATAATGAAATGGTAACAATTTATTTGAGCACGTTAGTTTCTTCACTAATTTATAGGTACTCAAACGATAGGTTTTATTAAGCCATGCTGCTAATTATAACTGGCATATCAAGAATATAAACAAAAAAATCATCACATAGGCAATAAACGGTGATCACGTATCAAAATAAATGTGCACTGATAACAGAACAGTGAAAAGTGATAATTTAGTCAAATAATACCTTTCGCAGTAGTTTTGCGCGCGTGATTTTCGGCATGTCACACTAAGATCACGCACGTATCCACTGTTTAGAAATCGGGATAAAAACTATGCTATGTTATTCCCTGGGTCTAAAATTAACTCTTTACCTAATTTCATCAAATTCGATTCAGTGGTGGCGTAAAAAAGGTTAGCAGAAAATTCGGTTCAGTCGTTCATGCGTGAAAAGGATAGCAGAAAGAGTTACAATAGAATTTTGGGTATAACATTACTTATATGTGAATATGGTTTTTATTCGAACAGTAGTCATTCAAACCACGTGAATACAGAAATATAAATAAATATGAATGAGATACAGTCTCAGCCTTAACACATGTAAATCTTTATTGTAATTGTAAATGACCTCACCAAGCACATGTTTAGCACAATACTGCCACATTCAAAAATCAGTTGAGCAAAGAAAAAGCCATTATTTTAGTTACACAGAAAATTATTGTGATTCTTGTGGTTGCTTATGTATTCACATGGAGTTCGAGTGGCTGCCGTTCGCTTAAAAAACCCCACATTTCCATTTAATCTCCTATATGTATGCGAAAGTAACTCCGTCTGTCTTTCTTTCCTAAACCACTAAACCGAAGGCAGGTGTGGTGTATTAGTCCGTGCAAATATACTTCAAGTATAGTAGTCCGTGCAAACAAACCTACTTCAGGTGTGGTGTTCGTACTTCAAATATACCCTGCATCCCAAAAACACGATAATTTTACCGTGCCAAAAACGATATAAGTAGGCGGGGTGCAAACAAATTTTGCTTAGCTTTCTGCTACCGTGCCCCTTACCAGTTCTCTGCTTTTAGTCCAGTCTTTATTTCAGTAAAGGACATTGACCAAAATCGATACTATTTTGTGCGAATATTTTGTAGACGCTGACAAGAAATGGCCCGAATTTCTTTAGATTTTTGGTAAATTTTTACCCTTTTTTTACCTTGATCCTCAATACAAAATTTCCAAAAGACTGTAACTTACATTAAGAGTATCTTACAAGTGGTCACTAAATCTTATCTGCTATTTGCAGATCTTCGAACCGTAAAGTGACCGGAATGACATTGCGTTGAATCTCATCACCTCTAGCTGCCATTAGTCTGACGAGAATACAAACAGCTTTAATTTATAACACGACTTATTTGTTATGTCATTTTGGGGCTTCGGTCAATTGGATTAGGGTTTTAGGTAATTTTTTTGTACTAAATATGTACAGTCAACAGAAGTAATTTAGACTAACACTAGATTATTTTGTTGCAAAATATCTATCACTTTATAACGGTGTCCACTCTTTTTTGTGTGGTCCGATACTTGAAAAGTGCATTTACTATTTTAATTAAAAATGGTGATATTACTATCTTATCTATCATTACCTATCTAACGTTAACTATAGATTGATGGCATAGGTAGGTAATTAGAAAATTTAAAAAGCTGGAAATGATTAATCACTTACTTCAATTTACTATCACATATTTTTTTACGTAAGTTTTGCTTTACGAAAACATCATTTATTTATGTTGTTGTTTTTTATCCATTGACAGTAAACATCAACAAAGATAATAAAGCACTCGTTCACACAGAATCACAAATTGAGACCTATTTATGGTCGGGCACGTTTACGATTGCATGTCAACTAGCTAGCTTCTATTTGCTTGTAGGTACCTAGGTACTAATAAAGTACAACCATCACGAGAAATCTATTAGCGACAGGTACAAGGCAAGGCAACCATAACATTGAGCTCTTTTCTATTAAAAATGCAAGTAACACAATCGATTTTAGAGAAGACACTTTTACTAAACAAAACATTATTAAATACATAAAACAATACCAACCCAATGGAGAACCTTCTCCTTTTTGAAGTAAGTTAAAAAATAACCTTACGTAAATAATATTTATGCCACTAGACCACATTCAATAACTCACTTACATGAGATGTAAACAATAATCAACATACCTAACAGTGTCGTTTATGTCGGAAAACGCATTGTTCACAAGGATAAACAAACTACTGAAACTGGTGTAGTAAAATGATAAAACAAATAGTACGTAAGAAACTGGCACATGTAAATAACTAGGCACAGCAAATAGGAGCTAAAAATTTCAAAACTGGTTCTAACAAAAACTGGTATCAGTTCGAACTTTGAATGACTGATAATGAGTGCTAAACAGTAAATAAACCCGATAAATACCTGTATTTATCTGGTACAGTTCGTTGTGAAAAAGTGCCTGATAGAAAAGACGAAAGAAGAATAAGAAAACACGAATATAATTATAATATTCTTTTAAAAATAGATGCTATAGCTCAACAATTAGATGATAAAACGAATGATCGACAAAAGAACCAATACTTTACACGCCTTCCTTGACCAATAGGAAATCTTTTTCAGACTGACCAAAAGTTCACAATTTTATGCCCATTATTCACGGTACGCAGCCCAGCGATACGAGAACACCAGAACAAAAGTCGCCTTCGTTCGTCATAAAGTCTAACCTTGGACGTGGTCGTTCACACATTTTCTCTGCGTTTGTTTTGTTCTTTTTTGAGAAACCCAGACTTGTTTGAATTTTAAATTGCGAGATTGTATCCATAAAACTGCAGGTAATCAATGGAAATGTTTAGAACTTTAGAGCATATTATCTATTTTTTTACTCGAGATTAAGATATGCAAAGAAAATAAAAAATTTGTGACGTTCGCCTTTGACGTCCTTTATCAGATATTATTTGATAATCATCACACATCAGTGATCAATCAGCGCAACAAATATTAGTTCGTGACGATGATGCTAACTATCTATGATCGTCGCAGCATCAATTTTCAGGCCCGACAATTTGCGGAACGTCAAAATAAGTGTTGTTTGTAATCAGATAAGAAATATCTTAAATTTCGTGCTGTCAACTGTTATCAAACACATTACCCAATTATTTTATGGTATGTCAATCCGCCTGATAATACGCGATTAACGCATGGATCACGCAATGATAAGGGCTGCGCCGACGCACGCACTACACAGACACACTATGGTGCTGAACCCAAATAGAAAACTATAAAAATAGTCTGCGATTAGGACAGTCTACTAACGAAGACTGCGACCGAAATAGCATTTCATAATGGAACTTTAGACACAAAAAACTGTCATTATGTCATCAGTTTTGGATCTTTAAAGCAGGAAAACCAGTACAAAAAAACATGTGCCAGGATATTTTTGGAATGTATAAAATTACAAAATATCTAAAATCTTAATCGTATTTGAAAACAATACAAAGTCCTTTGTAGCATAGTTCACGCGAAAATAAATCTTGCAATCACTAATAACCATCGGAACACATTTTCTCAGAAACTAACTAATGTAACAGTATTGCGATTTGATTGGAAATGCGTGGTCGTAAAAGCATTGTTTGGAACTGGCTTCCTTTGATTGTCTGCAATGAAGCCCGTGAAATGTTAAATAATCAGCACAGAAACTACTAGAGTAATTTCCACATTCACAATTTCATTATAGTACGAGGTCAAGAAAAGCAATGATTGAGTCAAAAGTAATTATTGGCTTGCGTCATGGAATAGATCCTGCATTTGCGTAAATCCTAAATAATAAATTAAATAAAAAGATAAATATCATGTTGCCAGCATTTTTTTTTTGCCAGTTTTGGTACAGGAAAGTCGAAGAGAAAATCATGGTGTGCCCGTTTTCGTAAAACCTGTTTGGATTTTTGGATCAAGTACGAATATTTACTACTTATAGGTACGATCTCGATACCTACTTCGGTTGGATTGGAATAAAGGCAATGCGATGCACATTAAATGTACAGATGTAGAAATAAAATAAAAATCAATAAATACACCGCAAAATATAAAATAGATCGATGAAGAATAACTGGAATGTGACATTAAGCTATGTTTCCTCGTAGTAAAACACCAGTTACTTTACAAAACATAAGGAAATTGGCTACAGTTTACAGTAAAATTATAATATTATGATAAAAATCAAAAGAACGTTAGAGTTAACATTATCATAACGACATTGTAACATCATGGTTATTTTTCGATTTATTTTCTTAAAAATGACTGAAAAGGAGTGCGAAAAAGCATGAAGCTAAACCCGGTATTTTAAAAATGGGTTGGAAAATAATGTATCTAGTAATATTTTGCAACAAAAATGAGTACGTCTGCCAGTATTTTTATATTTTTTTATGAATGAATATATTTTTTTTTACACTTGAAAGTACATTTAGGTTTAGGTAAGTCCGAAATGTGTAATCTAGGGATAAATTATTTTAGATCAAGATAAGGTTCAAGTTGTAACTTTCGATCGAAATAAGCGGTTGTGGGTTTACTTGGCGCTTTAGCAACGCCGAATGAGTGCCAATGCCGGGCAATGAACCTGGTAGGTACCTGTTTGTTGACATGCGTATGCTAATAAACAGACTGATGAACTTTGAATATTTAGGATATTTATGAAAGATGCTATACTAAAGTTATTTAGAGTACGTCCGCGCATGTAAATAAAGTATTGAAGTCGTAAAGATTGTAAATAGGTACATAATTGTTTTTTTTTGTAATGCAATAAAAAGCCTCTAAACGGAGATAAGCGCTTTTACTAGTAAAATTATTTGCCGACTGTACATTTATATTTTTTTGTTACAATAAAAAATATGAATGAATCTAGTCTGCCAATAGCACAGTTTATGCATTGTGGCACAGCACAGGAGACCAAAAATCAGAAAGGAAACTTTAAAGTTTACTTACATGCATAATGTAACTTACAAAATGTTTGGTTATTCCTTAGGTTAAAGAAATGGAAGATAACAGAGTTATATCAGGAAACTTATGGAAGTACCAACATAAAAGCAACTACCTACCTACTTGCTACGTAAATATATTTTTTCTGAACTTATCTGTAGTGATTTTAAGTATCATGAAATAAACTAATTAACAGTTTATGAACAGCACTGCCTACACGCAATTTAATGTCATCTAAGTACAACACTTATCTTAGAAAGATGTTAATGTCTGAAGGTCAAAAGTATACATCTGTTATTTATTTAAATTAAAAAAAAAAAACTTAAGCTTCTTTAATGGTTTGGGTAGTAATAAAATCTAAACATTAAAGAAATGTAAAGAAATAAAAAATTACCCGTTAAGATAAATTCGGCGAACGAAAACTGGTTCCAAACGCACGCACGCTCACCGCGGCAGCCGGTACGGTACTGAACTGTTTGCCCACAAAACAGGTCACAGCGACCTCTAACGAGCCTTATCGGAGGTTCAATGGCAAGCAATACTAACCCTATCTCTTGCGTAATTGGGGTCGGAATCATTTACCGACACGGGATCACAGTCCACATTAGATTGGAGGAAAAATATTTCATGCCTACAGTTTATTCTCGGGAATAACTTAGTAACCCTTTTTTATAAAAAAAAAATATACTTGAATTGAGAACATTTAACATTTTTAAGTCTGATAAAAATGAAAATGTTTCCTATTAAGTAGGTAATTCCTTAAATCAAGTAGGTAGTTAATTCCGTAAACTAAAATTAAATAGAAAAAATATTTTTTCACTTTAGTGACTTATTTAATTTTTTTTTTAAATTGGACCTACCTAATTGGAAATGATACAATACCAATAATGCAGCCTTAGAACATAATTGCTGTTTTTTATACAGTGTGAGTCACGTTAAAGTGTACATAATATGAAAATAGGTGAAACTAGACCTATTTTTATCGACAAAAAACAGGTCAAAATTTTTTTGAGATTTTTTTTTCTTCCAGTTACTTATTGTAAATAAATCGTAAAAACTTTTAAACTAAGATGTATATCCTGATAAAATAAAAACAGTAATAATGCTAAATAACAGGCAATACTAAAAAATTACATAAAATACTCAGAAAATGCCAACAAATAATAAAAAATGATACTTTTTGAAAAAAATCTGCTTTTAAATTCGTGTTTTATTGGTTATTTGATAAATTTCTCCAAAAAATGCCCCTATAACAGGTGGTTTTTATTACTTTGTATTATTCTCCATCGTATTAACTTTGTAAAACCAAAAATCGCATGTCTCTATCCCTATCACGTTTGCAATAATCGTTTGAACTAAGCCTCTCCGGGCGCGCCATTCAACGCTTCGTTAACAACGAAACTGAAAATGGCTCTAGATTTGTAATTTTGATAAAGACAAGTTAGATTTCAAATAAAAACAAAAGATTTCGAAGTAAAATAAGCATTTTAGTTAAAATTAAAACTGTCCCTACCTGTAGAGGAGAATAATTTTGTGGCAGGCCTTTGTTCAAACGATCATAGCAACTGTTGTGATAGGGATAGAGACATGCGATTTTTGGTTTTACAAAGGTAATACGATAGAGAATAACACAAAGTAATAAAAACCACCTGTTATAGGGGCATTTTTAGGAGAAATTGATCAAATAACCAAAAAAACACGAATTTAAAAGCAGATTTTTTTCTCAAAAATTATCATTTTTATTATTTGTTGGCATTTTCAGGGTATTTTATGTATATTTTTAGTCTCGCCTGTTATTTAGCATTATTACTGTTTTTATTTTATCAGGATATACCTCTTAGTTTAAAAGTTATTACTTTTTCTTTACAATAAGTAATTGGAAGAAAAAAAATTCTATAAAATAAAAATTGACCTCTTTTTGCCGATAAAAGTAGGTCTAGTTTCACCTAATTTGATATGTACACTTTAACGTGACTCACACTGTATATTTACAAGCTTTTTTTTATATCTTATGTACGATTATTATTATAATAATGAAAAAAAAAATTAGTTTCATAGAATTTAAATTTTATAAGTTTTTTTTATAAAAGCTGTTTTTGAAGTCTCATTAAAAACATTATTACTTTTCTAGATATTTTTTCTTATTAAATTATTCCTGAATTTAACTGCCTATTGAAAAAATTATAACTATCACCTTAGTTTTAAGAAAGTGTTACTTAAGATGTTGTTTGTTTGTAGATGCAGTGCCAAACAATTCTGTGCCAAAATAGAAAGATAATTGTTTATCTTACCAATAAAAAGAAAGGAAAAATTCCTTTTGGACTTGATTTTTCATTAAGGATATTTTTTTAAATGTATTGAATCTGCTAATGTTTTTAAGAAAGAAGTCAAAGTTTATTTTATTTCAATGTGTTTTTAATTTAATTGTTATTTTATCTTAATAAAAAAAAATCTTCAAAGCAAAATACTTTTCCTTTGATTTTGTAGCTTGGTGGAAGAGATACTAAAATAATAATGATATGATATACATATTGTAAAAAAATCAGAAAATTGTTTTATTACTCAATTTTTGGTATTTTTTATCAAATGTTTAATAAAAATATAAGTAAACAATAAAAGCAGGTGGGTAACATAAGGTTACAAAGGAGTGTTGAAACAGTTTTTTAAACTTTCAATAATTTAGATAGTTACTTGAAGAAGTTAAGTTTGAGTCCTTTTATTATTCTATTTCTATTTCCAATTCCTCAATTAAATTTCGAAATGACTAATTACTACTTCTATGCTTTGCAAGGCTGGGAAATCTTCCTGTGGTGTTACTTTTCAATTCTACAGGTGTTTTCTTTGTAAGTGAAAATTACCCACCCGCATTTTCAAAAAGATTTATGATAGGTTAAAGTAGAAGCACTTACATTGAAGCCTGCCTGCGTTATAACAAGGTACCTACTATAAATAAATAAATAATAAACTACGACCTTATTTACATTGTACGGATAAACGATGAGACGAAGTTACCAATTTTGATTACGTACTTACGTTTAAATTCAGTTAATAAAAACAATGTCTTCTTTACTTACCACTAGAAATAGAATACACCTATCGTCGTTTCGTATTATTTTCAGAAATTCAAAATAAACTTATTTCGCGAATTTGCGGTCGCGACGATTACACAAGCCCCCCTAGACAAAACGCACTTTTTGATCGAATCGAAAATCGAATCCGTCAAATTCCATACAAAAAAGGGGCTTTTCGACCACTTTTCGACTGGTTTGCGATTATAATGGCACTTTGTCTAGACCCAAAGTTTACTTGTTGATTTTTTTTGCTGCTTTTTTTTAAATTGAATGAAGAATGAAATGATGAATGAAATTGACAGTGACAGATAACCACACAGTGTACCTACCATGAGTTTACGTTAAGTGTGCTCGCTAGCGAGTATAGTTCCAAAATACTGGACTGTCCTGTCGATGACATTGACAGTGGGGCGCCACCGTCAATACCGGATTGCTGGTTCAGATTTTTGCCATGTTGGAAACCATATAGTTGAACGATGGTAGCGCCCCCCTGTCATTGAGTTTGGCGGGACAGTTCAGCGTGGGTCATCTATACGTCAATAATCTCTATGAAGATTTTGTTTCTTGAAAGTAGTCGCTAGGGGCGCTGCACAATATGTCATACAATTAATGTCATTTTTTTACGCAGTCGCTAGCGAGCACACCTAACGTAAACTCATGGTAAGCGCACAGATAACCACCAAACGTCTCGCAAGGTGACATTCACTCTAGGGATGTACTAGTTTAGTTGTTCAATTAATTGAACAGCTTTTTTTTATTATCGCGTCATACGCTTCTAATCTGTGGATAATCAAGCCGTGAGAAAAAAAAAGTTTGCTTCCTGCGGTAAAATTAAAAAATAAAATGTCGCGTAATTTTTTGTTGTTGTTGATCGAGTTGTAAAATTATGTGCATGGTATTAATTAATTTGTGTGTTTCGTCGTATTTTGTGACTCTATTACAGTTTATAATAAAGAAAAATGTTTGCCGTTCCAAATTTTCAGAATATGGACAATTGTTGCCGAACTTGTTTGAATTCTTCATCAAACATGTACGATATTTTTGAATACCAAGTAGACTCGTATTTGTATGAGATTTTGGATGTATGCACAAATATAAAGGTAAATTCATCGTACCATTTACACAGTATGGGGTCAGAGGGTTGGTATTTAGTTACTTAGATTATTGCTTTTCAGCACTTTATACTTTCGTCATTCAGTTAGCTGTCTGATTAGGTTACGTTGTATAGGGCTACTAGAAATACACTTAGTTTTTGTAATTAAATAACGAACGCAAGCAATTCGTAATGTACTTACTGGTTTACGATCCAAAGAATTATGAATAAGATAGGTACTCTGTGGATCTATTCACTTATATTGCTGAATTAATATCCTTTTTTGCAGGTGGACCGGCATGACGCTCTCCCAAAAAAGCTATGTAGCACCTGCTACGACTGCTTGATCAAGTTCTACGACTTTCGGAAACAGGCCAAAAAAATTGACAAAGATCTTCAACTCCACATTCAAGATGCCTCCAAATTGCCAGAAGAATTCATGACAATAGAAATCAAACCTGAAACTGATGATGATTCCAGAAACGACTTTGACCACGATTATAATGTGTCAACCGATCCAAAAAAAGAATTCCCATTTATATCCCCGGAGGATGGTTCTATCAAATTCCCATACAACAAATCTTATTATTCACCATCTCAACAACGTGATGACGTCAGATATTGTTGTGAATTCTGCAAAAAAACATTCCGACAACTAGATAAATACCGCCTGCATCTAAATAAACACAAATCAAAAACATATGTTTGTAATTTATGCCTAAAGACCTTTTCACACAAGTACAAATATTACAAACACTTAAACGATACACATAAGCCTAAACCAATAAAAACGTTTTTAGAAATAGACCAAAATGATGAAAACCAAAGAGTTGATTGTGATACTATTGCTGAAGGTATTAAGGCTGTAAATTCCTTGACTCGTCACCCACTGGGTCAATCAGAAAACGATAGTACGGCGTCTGGCAGAGTGCTATCTTGTTCCCACTGTTCTCAAGTCTTTAACAGAGTCAGCGACCTTGTAAGGCATGAGTCGGTCAAACATTTCAACCAAAATGAGCTGGAGAAGGCTGAGATATTTTCACAGATCGACCAATCAGATGAAAACAAAAACTTTGAATGTGATATTTGCCTTGCAAAATTCAAATCTGTGAACTCACTCTCAGCTCACAAACGGGTGCACATTGATAAAAGTAGGATCTTGTCCTGTTCATCATGTGGGAAAGTTTTCAAGAAAACGAACCATTTGAAACGTCATGAGATGACTCATGCGAATCGTCCTTTCAAATGTAACATGTGTCCAAAATCTTTCCTTTCTGAATCGATATTGAAGGAACATTTGAATGTGCACTGTAATTTGAAACCATACAATTGCTCTTTATGCCTGAAGTCATTCGCTTTCATATCGACTCTGAAGAAGCACTTGAAGACTCATACAAGAGAAAGGGGGTACATGTGTGCGATGTGTGGAAAGACATTCGATTCCAGCTCAAACCTAAATCAACATATGAAGAGACATATTGGATTGAAGTTGTTCTCTTGCAGTTTATGCCCACAAACGTTTGTGAGCAAAGGTAAATAAAATTGCACATATGAAAACTTATTTTTTCAATTGAAGTGGAATTTTAAACAGGAATTTTTTTGTTGCAATATGTGGGTGCAATTTTGACGATAAATGCACAATCACAAATATATTGTATTTCAGCATTTTTCAAATTCAAATAGTTTATTCAATACATGGGCCCTTTCCAGGGCACACTTATACATTTGTCTTGCTTTTATTCAATATATCTATATACAGGGTGTCCCGTAATGTAACGTCAAGCCGGAACTGGGTGTTGAGGCAAGTTGTGCTGGTTATCAGAAAAATATAAAAAAAAATCTATGTGGCATATTTTAAAAATAATAGGCATTTAAAAAAAATCAAAAAATTCTACTCCAGGTGACGGTCCTTTTACTCGTATTGCCACAAATCTTCACTTTTCCCAAAATTTTTTTTTGTTATGTAACCCTGAATAATGCTTCTCTAAATTGTTATCAAAATTACAAAACCAGCTGCTCCAACTTGGATGAAAAAAATACATTATTCCCAAAAAAAATATCAAAAATAAAAATTTTGCTTATTTTAAACTGACTGTACTGAAAAAAAATTGTACTACGCGAGTGTGGCAAGTGACGTCATAATTTGGCGCATTTAGTAAGGATTCCAAAATGGTATAACACTTTGTAAAATCTTGCTGTAATTGTCGACAATTTTTGTTTATTGGAAATAATCCCNTTTTGAAATTTTTTTTGGGAATAATGTATTTTTTTCAACCAAGCTGGAGCAGCTGGTTTTGTAATTTTGATAACAATTTAGAGAAGCATTATTCAGGGTTACATAACAAAAAAAATATTCGGAAAAAGTGAAGATTTGTGGCAACACGAGCAAAAAGACCGTCACCTGGAGTAGAATTTTTTGATTTTTTTTAAATGCCTCTTATTTTTAAAATATGCCACATAGATTTTTTTTTATATTTTTCTGATAACCAGCACAACTTGCCTCAACACCCAGTTCCGGCTTGACGTTACATTACGGGACACCCTGTATATAAAAATGAAACCCGTTTTCCGTTGTCACGACATAACATGAAAATGGCTTGACCGATTTGGCTGATTTTTTTTGTAGTTTTCTAATACTCTGGTACAAGGTTTTTACGGAAAAAAATATAAAGAAAATCTCTACGCTAAGGCGGTACGAAGTTCGCCGGGTCAGCTAGTAATATCTATAAAAGTTGCAATATTGCCAGTCACTATATCACAGCCACACCTTGCTGAAAAATCTACAAAAAGCTCACATAGAAATATTGTTAATTACAGGAGAACTGAAATCCCACAATATCACTCACACTGGCGAGCGCCCGTATTCCTGCGACCAGTGCGGCGCGACCTTTGCCAAGCGCAACTCGCTCAGCAAGCATATGCTGGTCCACCTGGGCATCAGACCTCACCGGTGTGAAACCTGCTCCATGAGGTACAGAATAACATACAATTTACATCACAGATTTTGTGCAATAGACGATATCTCAAATACATGTTGACCTATTCGTTTTTCTACATTAAACCTGTATACACGATTCACCCTCCTTCATTCATCATCATCATATCACCATTCAGCCACAGGACGTCCACTGCTGAACATAGGCACCCCCAATGATTTTCATATTGACCGGTTGGTTCTGGTCCTGGATCCAGCACCTTCCTGATCTTCATTGTTCAAATCAATCTGAAAAAAACGACCCGAGTTTTTAGTAACCTTTTTTGTCAGAAAAATGTATTAAATGTGATTTTCCTGTATACAGTGTGAGTCACGTTAAAGTGTACATATGAAAATAGATGAAACTAGACCTATTTTTATCGACAAAAAAGAGGTCAAAAAATTTTTGAGATTTTAAAAAAAATAATTATAGAATTTTTTTGGTGGCCTATTTCAACCCCATTAGATCAATTTTTACCTTGTTTTGTCGTTTATACAACTATTACTATTTCATACAGATTCTCAAGCAAAGACCACTTGAAGCGTCATATCCGCATCCACACTGGTGAGAAGCCGTACCGTTGCGATATGTGTGACCGCGCCTTTACGCAGAGCAACGACTTGGTCAAACATCGCCGGGCCCATTTGGGTGATAAACTTTACAGGTAAGATTATCTACTAACTAATACACCTATTTTCAGGTACAATTTTCTTTGAAACGTAGTACTTTTTGGTGCTTATTTTATAGATTATCATGTATACTTATGGTCATAGATTAATTATGGCTTCTGTCTAGTCTATTTCACCAAAATTAAATAATAACTTGGCTAAACAGGATTCTGAAGAAACTGCGATTCAACACAACATCCCACTCGAAATTTTTTGAATAAGATACATGTATACAATTTGAATTTTACCATAAACAAAAGTTTTTTTTACATAAACAATCACAAGATCTGAAATCTATAAAAAATCAGTAAAAACTATCATAAACACATTCTCTATGGTTTTACAGGTGCAGCGAATGCTCAGAAAGCTTTCGCTTGAAGACTGAACTTCGTCAACACATATCGGAACACTTCATATCGTCAAGGCTTCAAGCTCTGACCGTTAACAAAATTCCCACCCCCACAGACAACATAGAGAACGGTGAGCAAACTAACAACAATGATGTGCAGATAGAAGACAGAGAAGCTATGGAGAATGTAAGCAATGCCATGGAGAATGTAGGCAATGCCATGGAGAATGTAAGCAATGTCGTGGAGAATCCGAACAATGTTGTGAATATGATGGAAGATGTGCAAAATCCGAATATTCCCAACAATGGAACTATTGAACAGTAAGTGTGATAATGATACGTTACATATTGGAAATTGCACACTATACTCGGCGCAGACATGTGGCAGACGGTGCAATAAAGACAGCGCATAAGACGTTTTCTCTCGCACTTACACTGGTTATGGGCACGGTAATACTATCTATACAGTATTCCAACTCGGCCATATTTCTTAAATAAATGTCAACAGCCGCGCGGTACGTCACCATATGACAACATGCGATAGGGCTGTCCACCTGCAGACAATATTTTCATTACATCTGCCTACTTAGAATTTTTATCTAGTTTTGTGAATGTATTTTGTGATTGTAATTTTTTATTTTATTTTGACAAACAAAATAACTCACTGAATGAAATAGGATAAACTGCGTGTTGTTTTGTGATAAAAATTATACTTAGTGAAGTCAGTAAATTGAAATCATCATTTTAATAATTTTAATTTGCATACAAATCTGATTTTCTAAATTTTATTTTGTAAGAAAATTAAACAAATCAAAATGATATCACTGACTTCACCATACCATTTATATGCATAATATGTTAACATGGGCTAGTGTTAGCTTATAAACCTATTTACCTAACACCCTGTATAAATAGGTAGTTGTAATTATTTTTATAAAAAAGAGCGCTTACTGTTTCAAAATAACACATCATCCGTTTATTACCGTGGCACAATCGCGACACCCCCGACTTTTGCATGTCGAGCGCATACCGAGATTTTAATTTCGAAGGAAAGTTCGCGTTTCGTCCGTTTATATGAAGTTACAATACTGTATGATAGTATTACCGTGTTATGGGTGTAGTTCTCAGAGGTAGATTTATGAGCGCAGTTTGTATAAAAATTAATAAAATATTGCGCACCTCTGTTTCAAAAGTGATTTATGGTCCTGACTGCCACTAGTGCGTCAAGTATAGCGGTTTGTCCAGCGATTTCTTGACGAGGCGATGCAACGCTCATGCGCTCATAATTGAATTCAATAAAACTATTTTAACGATTTCGATGCGACATTATTATTATTATTATGTACTATGATATCGCACGGTTTAACACTCTCTCGAATACTGCTGCAAGATATTTCGTATTTATTATCGTTGCAAAATCGCGGTCTCTTGTCTCGCCGAAAAATCGTCCGACAATCGCTAGAGTAAAAAAGTCTTTAAAGCAACTGGCAGTCGACGTGACTGCAGCAAGATATTTTATGAAGTTTCCAAAATATACGAATAGTATGCGTGATGCATACAGTTTGTGTGAAAACGATGAATTTCCACGCTGGCTGTATGCCGAAGTGATTGTTTTATAGTGTAAGAGAATGAAGGTTTCCACTTTTATGTTATTTAGGCAATACAAAATAGAGTGAAGTAAGCCTACCTAGAGTGTATTTTAAAGGGTCTCATTCAGAGTTGAGTCTTACAGAAAAAAAAGAGTAGTTTTATAATATAGAAGAACTTTATAATGTTTTTCTGTGTACTGTAGTCGATTCGTTCTACTTCAATGTAATGAAATATGATAAATTAAAATAAATGTATTCTGGTTTTTGAAAGACCTGCTTAAATATGGCGGATGCCTTTGAAATCGTGTACATGTTCCTTTACGAGTCTTAGGTCTCACTCCAAAATAGTTTGGTTAAGGCCAGAATACACCACGCGGGTTCAGTGGCATGTAGTTATAAAGGTGTAAAGTTAGAAAGTAAACTTATATTAATAATAGACTAATTATTAATATTATAATTATTAGTTATGCTTTTTATCCCGGGAAAATTCACAGTTACCGCATATCTGTGATAAGGTAAATTGTACGAGTGTGAAGCCGCGGGTAAAAGTAGTTAAGTATATTCCAACTGATTATTAACAATATAAACTATTGTACGTAAATTTACGATGCATTTATTCTTATGATAGTTTTTTCGTGAAAATATTTTACGAATGAGGTAGTTTAATTTTAAGGTAATCTCTGACTGATATATTGTCAGTAATTATCGCGTATGTAAATCGGATAAAATAACTATACTATGTTGTTGACTGAATGCAATTTGTAGCACTGATCTTTTCGATTTATCCGTTTACCTAAATATATTAGTTGATCAGTATATCAAATTATCAATATTACTAGTTTAGTAAGTACCTATGTTGATCAGTAAAAAAGTAAATCAATACTACCAAATCGGTATATGATACAAACATTTGTTTGCTTGGACATATCTGTAAATTCTGTAATGTCTTGGTCTGTTTTATTTGTTATCCATAGTACAAGTTTTGATTAAATTTCAATAATATTAACCGTTTTTGTATTCATACTTCTAATCAGTACGTAAAAAATAGCAGAATGTTCACCGTTGACAACTGGGAACAGTACGAACTTTATTGCATGTCATGGAACTCTTTTTTAGCTTAAGTGCCACCATTGTAAGAAAAAAATATTCTAAAAATGTAATATAGCTGTTGAGTTTCTGAATAAACTAAATAAATAAATAAACAGAATGATTCGTAATGAATTCCGAATTCTACGAAATCTCTGTCTTATTTGGAATTATATTTATGTATTAATAGATGCTGTTCTTTGTTCTACAAACATTCCTAAATAAATAAATTTTAAATGTCAGTTTATACATTAAGTTACTGTTTATGTAGTTATTACAAACATACAAGTTTTAGTGAACTGACCTTCTTACTTAATTGAAAAAATACGTACTTTTTTTTTTAATCAGCGATACCAATTTTTTTTCGGCGGCAATGTGAATTCAATTTTCGCATACGATATCACATAAATCGTCTATCAATCCCTATGTCATACGCAGAATCGTATGTGAATTTTATTGTGTAGTTGACACCAGTAATAAATTGACGTACTTTTATGAGCTGTCAAAATCAATAACCCTATGATTTTTTTATATGTGAGGTCATTTCTGTCCAGGTCCAATAGAATAAAGCCCGTTTTCAACCGCCGAAGGGGAATGAAATAGGGATGTCTAGGGGAGCGGTCTTCGTTCGGGAGTATTGATTTGATGAGCTCATATTTTTGCTCGATTCTTTGTTGGTGGAAACAGATGCATGCATTTTTGTATTGCAAGGTAAACGGAGTCATTCGCTTGCGGTGGAAAACGGGCTTAACTATTTATACAAATACTTAGGTTGTAGTGACGAATTCTTCGACAATTCTAATATTTAAAAATACGTAATAGTTATTGGTGTATTCAATAACTGCGGTATCTCATTTATTACCGAAACAGAATAAAACTTGCTGTAGACCCAGCATTTTTGATAGCTGATTTGCAATCTATATTTTCTAGATGTTAATGGATTTAGTGTAATTGTTGACATTATGCATTTATTTTTTTATAACTTTTATGTCTTCCCAATTAAAAATAAGATTGAACTATGATTTAGTTATAATTTTAATGTTAAGTTGATTGAAATGATTATATTAGTAATGTATAACAAAATAGTTTTTGTTTCTTAATTAATTGTCAATTTTTAAATTCAAACTTAGTTCCTACTTAAATAAATGTAGTGTTATAAAATTGCGTATTTTGTGAGATATTAATTTGAATGATTTACAATGTATTTTTCATATGATATTGATGTCTACGATAAGAAAAACTGTAAACACTTAATAAACATGAATAAATAAATATTTAATTGTTTTTATCATCCCCCTAACTAGGGATTTATACTGCTTACATCCGAAACTATCCGAAACTTTTGAATCGGTTACGGTTACGGTTTCGGATATTTTTTTATTTCGGATATCCGAAAGTTTCGGTTACGGTTACGGATATGCGGATATCCATAACATCCCACTAACTAAAGTCTAACAACCGAAGTATTCTACTGCTAACTCAATGTCGAATCATCGAATGCTATAGTAGTAATCCTCTTAGATTAGGCGTGAATATAATAAAATTGTTTATAGCAATAGCTCTGGCGTCAGAATTTATTATCCATTGCCTTTCAGGCGTCAAGTATGATAATATCAATTTAGAAAGATTGCTATAGGAAGTACGTAATTAGATCTAGGAAATAAATTTCAGACTGGTTCAAATAGTTACATGTAAACCTAGACCTCTGAACTAGACTATAAGGTTTTGAATCCTTTACTTATTGTAGGTAGGTAGGTACCTTTTTACGACGTTTCGTAACTAGGTTTAAGGTACAAGTGCAGTGACTACCTTACTATGTACCAGGATTCCATAAATAATGTCTAGTTTCTAGCCTCCACCGTTAATTATAGCTAGAGACGAGCACAGCATTGTAGAAATCGTTAAGGTGTCTCCACACGTATCCGACGACAGGTTTATGTATGGTCCTTGGTGGGTAGAGATCGCTTTATGCTATGTGTTACATAGCGAGAACTATATTGAGGTGTAGTGCTATGGAAAAGTGGATAAAATAGGTAGCAAAATACAGGTACATAATTTATGATAAGGCAAACGGGCTTGTGTAGCCCCCTAGACTCTAGACAAAAACATAACTCTCCTTCTGGCGCAGTCGAGTAAATATTTACAAAATATGTCAATTAATTGTAATTTCGAAATCACTTCCCTCGTGCGTTTTCTTGTATTTTAGTTCCTACTTCGATCCGTGTAGCGATTTCGAAGTTACCACGAAGTTATTGTCACATTTATCGTCATTATTTATATAAAAAAAAAACTTTGACAAACGTCAAAACTCTGTCAAACTCTATACTAAAAGCACCGGTTATCGTTTTAGTACTTATTATTATTCTGTGGTTTTAGTTACGGTTAAAGTTAGGTGGTGCAAAGGCTGGGCTGCACCATCTTTCTTTGACTTTTTTGACTTTAACAAACTTCAAAAACCTGTCAAACTCCATATAAACCACACTGGTTATCGTAATAGTTACGGTCAAAGTTAGGTGGTGCAACTCAGCCTAAGGAGACAAGTATATTTAGGTCCCATCGTGGTAAAGATCAATCAAAACGCAATTTAAGAAATGGGTCCATAAAACAGTTAAGAAGCTTGTGATTTTTCACGAAACAGGCATTTAGTCCATCGATGACTTTTCAAATGCGCTTGCTAAGCCTTTCAATCATAATAGGTAAAAGGCACGGCGATTAAGAAATTATGGATCCAACAAATTAGGGACCAATTCCTTATTATTAAACGGTCTGTTTTTTACGAAAGCTTCTCTTTCCTTTCAACCTTCAGGATTCGCTATTCATTAATGATTATTCCA